AGGTATTTATTTTAATCGTCAAATGTTCGTCCACCGGGGTCGCAAAAATAATTTTGTTCGCTCCAGTTGGCGATTGTCCCGCTATATATCATCATTGTTGTGTCGTGGTAATTGCATTCCATTGTGTTAAATGTAGTGTTAAAAATTATTGTATACAACGGCCACTAACCGTAAAGTTAGTTTTTCTGTGTATTTGCTCCTGTCGTTATAACAATGAACTACAATGCATCATTACTTTAACTTTCTGTACGTCCCTGTAACTACTTAGGACGAAATAATAAAAATGTCGTGTTCTCTATAACTCGATCTCGACAAGACGACCCGTTGGTATCCGGATAAGACGGTGAAGGAGCGACAGACGCGGTAGTCAGTGTAGCTGTATAGGAATGTAACAACCGAAGGAAAAGATTACACGGAAATTTGTGATGCGATTTCAAAATGTCAACTCTGTTATTTGTCGTGATTTCATAATGTCGTATTCCGGCGTTAAAAAAATGTACCGATTCCTATTTAAAATGGTTACACTGAATAACGTAATTTTTGAACAATTATTAAAATTCGAAATCCAGGCCTGAATCATGCATGATATATACATGATTTCAGTTTACTCAAACAACAGTTCTTTATTCATTCATATTTTTCACTTGTGTCATTTTTAAAGAGTTCTTTATAATTTTTTTAGGACGCGAAGAACCTATGATACGTACAAACCAGAATTGTTAACCCCGGATTTTGGTTTGTTTTTTACCGGATATCTGTTTACAAGCACGCATTGTATTATTGCATTAAAGCGGTTTAAGTACGAATTTTAATGGCCGCATTGAACAATCCATCTTATTCATTTTTTTTTATTCATGTGTAAACTCTCAACTGTCAGAGCGAAAGCACGCCAACACATCGCGACGACAAGTTGACGAATTAACAAGAATGAGCGTGATCAATGTCCCTTGTCTAAGGCTAAGTTTCACGATACCTACCTAGAATAGTTTCCTTGGTTCTGACTGACCCTCATATTGTACCGTTAATCGAGTCGTGACTTAAAATCTGTCAGACACATTTATATAGACAGCAAAGCATATTTACACAAAGAAAACAAGCATAAATTTTACTTTCCAACGTGTACTTATATTTACTCAAACAGCAGATAACTGTATTTATTTTTGGACAAGTACGGTTCTCGCCGGTATATCATGGTGAAGTTGACAAATTTGAAGTAAAATAAATCATTTGATTGGTTCGCTGTGAATGTTTTATTGCCTTGGGGAATGCAAAGGGATTGGGCAAATTTCATAATCACTTGTGTGTCTTGTAAAAATCTTTGCCTCAACCTGCGAACCATTTTTTTTTCATTAATTCGAATAGTGGCAAAATTGAAAAATAATTCACACGTGTTCTTGACGTTTTTCTGAAATTATCAGATTTATGAAAAGTATTCAGTTCATGAAATTATATAAAACATTTAGAAAATTTGGTGTTATTTCATGTTTCATTTTATATAAAAGTGCATCTTTTACTCTTTCTTATATAAAAGTTGCAATTTTCGCCTTTTAAAAAAGTGTTTCAAACCTATCTAATATAATGATTGTTTTCCTCCAATCAATATCGATTTTTTTCGGTCGACACATATATTTAGGCTCCAATAAACAGCTACTGTACATTATGTTAAATTTCATGACATGTGCCATTCGCCTATATATCGTTTGTCCACTTTCATATAACAATAAAGTTATATATCTTAAACAAATCCACGAGAATTCATTAGTACAACTTACTACGATGTCATAAAACACTCCATGTCTAACGTCTATCGTAAATCTTTACGCAATCGTGTAGGGGGCGAGATATAGGACAACGGAGAAGAATGTGTGTTTGTGCAAACCACAGTCGTTATATTACACTCTGAAAAACTGCCAATCACCACAGCATAAACTTATAAATATTTAGAATTTATTAAGTTTTCGGGCCATTCGGTGAAAAGTCGCAGTCACTAAAATGATGTAACTGTTAGTAGGTGGCTATTTCAAACAATATCTAGAGAAGAGGTTAGAGTGCATTAATAAATTTGTCTAATCTATTAAGTGTATTTAATTGTCTCCAGTACATTTCTTGTGCATTCTTTTATTCCTAATCACAAAATCATTCACGTAATACACTGTAGAAAGGAGCTCACCTTTTTATCTATCACAAACATACTTATGTTTTGTTCCGTTTTAACCATTATGTACTATGAGATTGTACATGTTAAGTATCATGTCATCCCTTAAATGAGTTCAAGACTTGAAGAGTTACGTCCTTTATCGAAGAACGTGACATGGAACAAAAAGCAAAATATCTCAAGCCGCCATGATTTGTAAAATGTGAGTAACTGGTATCACGGCAAATTTATATATCGTGACAATTTTCATGAACGGCTATTGTTGATAAGTGGGCTGTTGATAAGGTCATTATGTAATGAGCACAAGTGATCAAGTTCTCCTGTATTAATTGCAAATATGTATTACACTTTTACAGTGGTGCTGTTGTTTGTTGTTGTGAACGGGAACGACAGTGAAATCAGAGAATCGAATACGTAAGTAGATTTTAAAAGTTCTGTCTCTAATAACAAATCTACGCATCATTCTTAATTACCTGAAGTACAAAAATGTATATCCCTTATCTTCGCTTTGTACTAATTGCTGAAATTGGAGGACAGTCCTTCTGTAGAAATAAATCATTTCAAATGTTTGTCAAGTCAAATCAAAGTTAAAATGTTGATATTCTTTGACCCTTCACAAAAACAAAAAAGAAAAAAAAACATAATGAGAACATTCTTGTTGCAGGACCAGGGTCAGGACGACAGTTCTGGTGACACGAATTGTCATCCCGATATTGACTATTGGAGGACTGTCTCTGGGTTACTTCCTGTTCAGGGGATGGATTAGGTTTTCCTGTAGTCGCCAGAAGACAATTGATGGGGTATCCAATGTTTGATTGTGTATGGTTAGAGTGACTGATTCTTCTGCAGCAAGGAGGGGCCAGATTTCTGATGTAGAGACTAGAGATGGACAGGAAACGATGGTTATGTTACCTTCCGGGGATGGACGTGTGTACAATAACCTAACGTATCAAAGGAATTAAGGAAAATTTTCTTTTCTTAAATACACAATCACATCATATAAAAGAATAAATGTCTTCATCGCATTCATTAAAGTTCAATTATATAGAGACGGACGCAGCATCGCATTTAATGTCATAAATTTAAAATTATTGCCCCATTAGGGATCTTTACTGTTTTCATGTTGCTCGACACTGAAATTGCGGTAAAGTGTAATTATACAATCACGGCATTTCAGTTGTCCGGAATTAATTCAAACACGCCTTAAACTATCAAAAATATTTTTACACTTAAGCTAAACAATAACGAGCAATATTGAAAGCCGAATTGCTACATGTAACGTCCATGAGTTTCCACCGGTACGCGTTTGGAAGTTAGAAATTAAATGGAAACTTCTATTTGGCTCTTTAAATTATCAACAGATATGTTATAATAGTACTTGTAAAAGTAAGCGTTTTGTCTACACATACATGTAGTTTTTTTAATGGGTGAAATGACGAAATAACGAATGTATTTCGAAATATTTGTCAGGTTTCCACGTAGCTGTTCTACTATAGTCGAAGGCGTGAACGTGCTGTCAACGAAAATGTCGTAATTGTGAAAACAAAGTGTTAGGCTGATGACAGTATGAACTGATAATATGTAAATCATGTGACAAGACTTTAACACTGTGCAATTCTGTGATAGCGCAAAGTTTAGTGCGTGTTAAATGTTACTTATGATGAATTGTGTTATCAAAGTGCAGTCATTCTAGAGTTTTACAACAAAAAGATTGAAAGTAAAATGTGTTTTGTTTTATTTTTATACAAATGAATATCATTATTTATGTGGAAAAAACAAGTTTATTGGTTTAAACATATCTTATTTGCCAAAAATTTGACAACAACGGATTGGGCACAAGTTATTTCAACATTATCAACGCCCTCTCCGATTAACATTTGTATAAATTTTAAGGTGATGGTATAACGGACACAACAGAAACATAATAACTAACGAACTTTCTATATACAATGCTGGTTTGTAGTAACTTAAATTGTAAATCTATTGCTGGCCCTTATATAAATTTGTACTATTCTAAAAATGTCTATATTAATATCGAAAGGTAATTGATTATCCCCAAAAAGTAGTAAATCAATATCAATTATGTGATTAAAACGTAGTATATTTAAGTCATTTAACATAGTAAGTCTCTGATTTTGGTAATTTGGACAAACGAAGAAGAAATGATAGTTATCTTCACAGGCAAAACCACAGCAACACATTGGAGAATTCACGAGATTCACACGGAAAAGATCGTAATTTAAAGAACTGCACGCATGTCTTAATTTTGTATGAATAATATTTAGTTTTCTCTCTCTCCATAATTGAAATAAGGGGGCGGAGTCAACTCTCTTTGACCAGAAAGCAAAGCCTTTTTAAAACGCCTAAGTGATGGTTGTAACCTGACCGATAAATCTAAATTATTCCATAAACGAATTGTGGAAGGGATGAACGACAAATTTGTATGTGATAATCTATAATTAGGTAAAGTGAAATTATTTCTATTTCTCAGGCTATACGGGTTAATTTGGTCTACAGTTGGTGGTGGCGATAAAACATTTAGAAAATTTGGTGTTTTTTCATGTTTCATTTTATATAAAAGTTGCAATTTGCGCCTTTTACGTCTTTCTAAAAGTGTTTCCAAACCTGATTCATAATATAATGATGCATTATTAACATAGGAAGGCAAACCTGTAATAATTCTAACATATTACATTCGTCGTTAGTACATCCGTCCCACACTTCGCACGCATCCTCAAAGATAGGTAAAATGAGTGTAAGATAAATTCTAGATAGGGTCTCCCTTTTAAGAATATATCTAAGTTTTCTCAAAACTTGAATACTATAAATATGGTCTCCCACTTACCTTTGGCTTTCAAAGTAACTCCTAGATGTCTATGAATTTCACTAAATTCTAAAAATATTCCATCAAACTGTAGTTCAAAATCCTCGAGATTATTAGCATTCGAAACAAACATTACATCAGTCTTACTTGGATTAACATTAACTAACCATTTTTTGGACCAGACATTTAATGCTTCTAAATCACGGTTCAGTAACGTAGAAATTTCATTGCAAGAAGAAGAAGTGTGCATTAGAAAGGTATCATCAGCAAAAAGACGTGATGCAGATTGAAAATTTTCAGCAACATCATTGATATAAACAGGAAAAAGCAACGGAGCAAGAATTGACCCTTGAGGAACTCCAGCTTTAATGAACCCTATATCCGAAACAGAATTACCAACAAAAACTTGTTGATATCTATGAGAGAGATAATTTTCTAACCATTTCAACAAATCTCCAGAAATATTATAAGACTTTAATTTTATTAGAAGGCCCTGATGCCAAACCCTATGAAAGGCCTTCGATATGTCACAAAAAACCAGACATGCGTGCTTCTTCTCATCTAAAGATTAACAAACTCTATGAAAAATTTCCATTCAGTGATAAACGGTTGAATGACCTGACATAAATCGCGATTGGTGTTCAAGAAAAAGAGAGTTATTTAACAAATGATTATGAACATGTTTAAAAACGATTCTTTCAAAAACTTTACCAACAGCAGATAATAATGAAATAGGTCTATAATTTGTAGCGTCGTGTTTGTCACCTTTATTTTTATAAAGAGGCATAACCTTGGCTTTTTCCCAAGCCTTAGGGTAAATTCCACTAGTAAGGGATAGATTAAAAAGTAGCATTAGCGGTTTACAGACAGTATTTGCAGTGAATCTCAACATGTGATGACTAATGCCATCACTTCCTGAAGCTTTTCCAAGTTTCAATATTCGTAAAATGTGTTTGATCTCCGAAGCTTCTATCCTAACAGTGTGGAGACGACTCTCTGTCCTGTATCCTGGATTATAGTGTTAATTACCGTTCTCACCTCAATTAAGATCAGAAACTTATGTCAAACTACGAACGAATGTGATTAGATCAACCAAAGTTATATCACTGCAAGAGTACAGTGATCCCTTCTTTTCATTAGTTTTTTAAGCAACATTTCAAAAAATTACACTTTGGTTGCTATGGAGATTTGCAGCTGTCAAATCAAATTGAAAATTTGAGATCATGTTGTGCATATTATCCCAGTAGGATTCTATTGTATTTCTATGATAAAGGAAAAGGAAACAAAAATCGCTTAAAAAATAAACAATAATTCTTGTTAAATAAACAAAAAATCCAAAAACGCATATTTCTATGACACAAATTTTGACGCCTGTAACGGGAGACATTTTTTCTTTTAATTACGCTCTATTATTTTTTTACCCTTTCCAAAACCAGCACCAAAATTTTTTTTTTATTTTGAGCATCAGATTTTCATTTATCCTTAATAGGGCTTGAGAAAATATGTCTTCCCTCAAGGATTCGTCAATGTGCTGAGGGTCTTAATCGTGAAAATGAGGATGACACATAGAATAGTTTGGATGAAACACTAAATCTACAAATATGTCTACAAACCTAATGCTATTGGTCAGACATTCTTATGTTATCAAGATAGATGTTTTTTATGAAAAAAGAATTGTAGATAAAACATGAGACAATTAATATCTAATAAAAAAACAATACATTTGTATAATTTAATTGACAATTAACTGCTTTAATGAAATGAAACATTTTTGTTCTCTTTGAAAGAATAAGCTAGTAATCAGAATTATCCAGTATATATTTGTTTATCATATGGGATAAGTCCTATTTTCACCGAGTATTCAGCAGAGCTAGGATGAAGCTGACTGGGCATGGCCTTTATCCCTGCCGCTGCGAGTCTTGGGTCCCGTTCATTCAGTACGTTTCCAGATTCGGGCCGGACCTGTGAAAGGTACTTCAGCACAACGGAACCCAAGATATCTCTCAGGGTCTGGCAAACAGTCCTCATCAGTCTTATATATGTACATTTGTACCTGTATTTTACGTTCAGACTTCCATAAATGACTTAAATATTTGTACTATTTCATACATCTTTAAAATGTTTGAATTCTAACGGATTTCAAATGTGTGTAGCAATTGTTTAACATCATAGGTAAATCTAATGTGACGACGTAGTGAATTATATAGGAAACGTACAGACAATATACATACAGATGAAAATCAAAAGCCATTTAAAGGGTGAAAGCCACTACTTCAAGTCAGTCGCAAGCTTATTCTTATTTCTAGGCAATAGATATACGGAGGCGGTATCAGCCTTACCTTTTCCTGAACGTTTCTACTGTTAGGCTCTCCAATGGAACTATTTGGGTTATATATAAACGTAATATCTTCTTATGTCTATTTTTCAACATTATTTATTTTGCATATCGTTACTTTAATATTTTAAAGCAGTTTCCAGTAGCAATTGATCTAATTACAGCGAAGAGGAGTGTCTTGTGGCAATCAGAGAACTCTGAAAAAGTTTAAAGGTAAATGTACAGCTCATCAAAATAAGATAATATACATAAGATCTTAAATCAATTTTAATTTCAAACGAGATTCGATGAAACATAATTTTAAATTTTCCATAGGATCTTTTATGAAATTAAAACGAACTCTAGTTACTTTTGATCACATAATTTAGAAAAATTATATTTTGACAGATTTAAAAGTAAAAAAGCGAAGGACAAAGTTAAATGAACGCCGCCATATTTTGCGTGCATGACATAACATCATACTTCATATTATGACATCGCTATCGATCTCTGACTGGCGTATCCAATCAAAAACGTTCCAGGATGTATTACATTTGTGACATTCACTCAAAAATATCCCCTGGTTAACAGGCGTATTGTGCAATGAAAATATAGTTTTTACGTACCTATCTTTATGCCTATGTTTGTTTTATCGTTGGATTCACACATACGTTTGAGTAATACAGTATATATGCAGTAATTGTTTTACAAAACTGACATATTAAGAAAATCCGAAATAATCATGTTTCTTCCATTGCAATTTCGTTGACGACAGATACTTTCGCGTAGTCTTCTGTCTCTCTAACAACTTGGACGCACAAGAAAACAAAACCGGATGCTAACACCAGGGCACATCCGGCTAAGTAAAACGCTGGCTTGTACCGCTCCACTTCATCATAACTCATTCCCACAGCATCTGCAACAATGTCAACACCTACGGTGATTAAATGTGCATTCGTGTAATCAGAAATATTAAATATAAATATAAACTTTATTTATTTTACAACAATTGCGAAACAAGTTATGTCAACTTATACTAATCACTCTTGTTGGCCCGGATGTAAGCGCGCGAGGGTTCTTATTGTGGGAGGAAACCGGAGTACCCGGGAAAAAACCACGTGGTCGGGCTGGTGATCCCTTACCTTTTCACGTTCGTTCCGGGAATCGAACCCCGGTCGGCTAGGTGAAAGGCGAGTGCGTTAACACCGCGCCACCCGACCACCCTTAGAAGATGCATCGTCATACACATTTATAGACGAAGAAATCTAAAACGGTGTTCCTTAAGCAAATGATTGGGTAAACCCATCGTCATGACAACACTCCGCAATCAGTTGATAGGCAAATTATACAACATTACAGTAGAGTTATGGAGTTTAGATTTAAGTGAATTATTTATTAGTATCGTAATTGATTTCTACAAAAAAAAACATAATCCAAACTCAAAATCGATAAATCATTTACGTGGATACTACTAAGTAAAAGGAATGTAAACATAGATGATACGGAAGAGTAAGCGTCTTCTGCTTCATCGATGGCTTCCGTCATGCTGATATTGGCCAACCAGGTCAGTATTGAACAGTTACACTGGAGACTTGGTACTTATACAATATTGCCAGCGTTACATGAATGATCAACTTGTGTTCTGTATGTGGAGTCACAAAGCATTAGTGTACTAGTACTTACATTAAATATGTAAACAAATTGTTCAGATACGTACACTGACATGGCGATGACAGCAGAATACCAACACCAGCACTGAATTCTAAAAGGCCTTTAACAATCCGTACGTTCTTCTTCCCGTACACAGTTGGAATCAGGTTTTGGAGAAGAGTAGTGAACGCCACTACAACAGACAAATGAAAAAGGGTTAGAAAGACGTGTCGCATAAGACAAGTTATATTCCTGATATGCATGATATGTAGTCATAAATACACGAGTTTTCCGTTTAACTTTCAGTCCGTAAATTAGCTAACCTTTTTAACAAATCGCATTAAATGTGCGATCCTATCACACAGTTGGACACTAGATAATGTATATAGCGTGTGTGCTGATGATGTGTGCACGAAGTTTTTTTAGTGCATTGTACATTACCACAATGGTGGTCCGACCATCCGTTAGTGTCACTAGTGTCCAGGAGATATATATTGATATATTGTTGGTCTAATTAGAACTCCTTATCTATTTCCACTGTACTGAAATGAATCACAACGACAACAGTAATTGTTACAGGGTTAACGTGATCTATGTATAATTTTACTGTCGAGAAGTTAGATTCGTTAGAAAGGTTAGACACATCAGTAAGGTTTGACTCATCAGTAAGGTTTGACTCATCAGTAAGGTTAGACACATCAGTAAGGTTTGACTCATCAGTAATGTTCGATTCATCAGTAAGGTTTGACTCATCAGTAAGGTTTGACTCATCAGAAAGGTTAGACATATCCGTAAGGTTTGATTCATCAGTAAGGTTTGACTCATCAGTAAGGTTTGACTCATCAGTAAGGTTAGACACATCAGTAAGGTTTGACTCATCAGTATCATCAGTAAGGTTTGACTCACATCAGTAAGGTTTGATTCATCAGAAAGGTTTGACTCATCAGTAAGGTTTGACTCATCAGTAATGTTCGATTCATCAGTAAGGTTTGACTCATCAGTAAGGTTTGACTCATCAGAAAGGTTAGACATATCCGTAAGGTTTGATTCATCAGAAAGGTTTGACTCATCAGCATCAGCGAGACTACACTGATCATAAAGGTTAGTCTCATAAGTCAAGTTTAACTTATAAAATTGAGGTAAAACTAATCAATATGGTTAGACTCCTCAGTAAGGTTAGAGAAGTTAGATCGATCAGAAAGGTTAGACTCATTAATAAGATTAGACTCATAAATAAGGCTAGATTCATCAGAAAGGCTAGACTCATCAGTAAAATTAGACCTATCAGTAAAGATAGACTCACTAGTGATTCTAACCCCACTGATGAGTGTAGATAAATCTAGCAGATATTAAAGATTACTGTACGGGTTAGTCAACAATTGGTGCGAGAGCACTAATTTTGTATATACGATTTTGCCACGTCTGTGTACGGCCTGTTAGGTACCACGTAACTACTTCCGTCTAGACAACAGAACATGCTGTAGGCAATATGATATTATAAATTAATATCAGCTTCTAATCATTGTATTTACTTATATTCAAATATGCAATTATATCTTGTCATTACAATGAAAATACAACCCTTGACCTGCTTATCACAACACGGCGTAACCTTGCTAAACAAAGCCAAAGCGCCTTTTTTTAAACTGTAGAGTTCTTTCTATTGGGATAATTCCAAATTGTAATGTAAAAACAGTCTTTTAGTGCCTTGGACATGATAAAAGCTGAAAGGATTGGTAGTTGAATGTTTACCTTTCGAGATACCCAAAATAGCAGCATAAATGGAAATATGAAGTAGATTTGTCGACCACGTTGCGCCTATTGTCCAAATTCCAGAGATGAATGCAATCGGTCCCATAAAACACAAGGTGGACACTATCTCTTTCTTTATGCAGCAAAACATAAATACTGGTCCGAGGATCTGACCTCCATAGTAGAAAAAGCCACCCAGGTAGGGAGCTGACGAGCTGTCGCTCGTATCGAAAAAAGTAAAGATCTCTTTTGATAAAATGAACTGACCTGGAAAGAGAGAAAACTTCTGTCAGTGATATGACGAAATTCAGGAAGAATATTCAATAAAGTAATACGATGCGGTTGCGCAGTTATTGAGGTGACAGCGAAAACACTGGGTACAAAGTGTCATAAATGTAAATTCGTGAAAAGGCGGAAATGTCGTATGGGAATTTATATAGAAATAAAATCTTACTCACCAAAACGGTCTAATAGGAGGACCGTCATCAGAATATACAACGACTTCTGATGTAATATGCTCCAATCAAATGGAGAATAATATGTCTTGATCCACTTTTCATTTGTAGATCCCAGTCTGAGAGAGACAAACAAAGCGAAAATCATGATCACTATCTGCCATCGATAAAGCAGTCTCCAGTTTAGATTGACATCATCTATAGACATTATTCCATAATGAATGACAGATGCACATGCACCCCCAATGTTAACAACACCAACAGCTATGAACCTGCAGTTGTCTATGTTCTCAAGAACAGGAACGACTGCTACAAGTTTCAAACAAGAGGCTCCAACACCTGAAAAGGAAAGATGTCGTCTTGTAGAATGACCATTTAATTATTGACTGTGTACCGACACGAAAACAGACATTAAATGATTGACTACAAATCGGCTCCAAAATAAACAATGAAATATACAAAACTTCAGTATATCTTCCTTTGCATTACGCTGTCTTTATTTCTGAATGATACAAAAGTTGATCGACAAATAAAGTCATACATTTTTCTAGAGAAATTGAACTCGTACAAGTTGCTCGGTTGACCGGTCTGTCACGATATCACGCGTGACTTACAGTGAAAAACATACCTGCGATGCCACCGATGAGTACTCCGATCAGGCCTATGGCGGCTTTGTCGAGCCAAGATGCCACGAACATGCCACACATCATCATTAAGCAGCCACTTATTGCCACTATTCGGTAACCCACCTTCAGCGAAATCAGGGCCGCGAATATTGCTGTAATATTATAAATTATATAACAAGAATTAAGTCTGATTATTTTTATAATTACAGATAATTTGTAAACTTCCGAATATTTTTATTTCATAATAGAAAATGGTTTGTGTTGATTTGCTGATGTAAGCATTATTTACTTGCGATGGAACTGACACCAGTGTACACACGTCGAACCTCGCGTTGTCCGCTCTCGCCCCAATCGGCTGTGTAACCGAGGGCCTCGTCCTTTGTAGTAATCCATTGATCCACCAAGGAAAAACTGAAGAAGATAGCAGTGCATGACAGGATCGTCCCAACGGCTCCTTTTAAGCAGCAACATGAGTGTCCGCTTCCGGTCTGGTCCTCATCTTTATCTTCGGCATGTTGCTATTTTTTTTATAAAAAAAAAAAGACCAGTACAGATAAAGGTATATCGGTTAACACTTACACCACTTATTTACTTTAACAGTATAGTGTAGATCATCTCGGAAACCTAACAATGGATCTTCTCTATTTATGACACCTGACAATCACAGCAATGTTAATTTGAAACTCGTTTTACATGAATCCTTCTGTTTCCTACTGCATTCAAATTTAGTGTTATGAAGTCTAAAACTTTAGTCAATGACAATTCTGTTATATCATATCCCGCCGAGTAACAGCATACCGACATGACACAGCCTAGACAAGACAGCATCATATTCCGCTAATAACATCATACCGACATGACAGCCTAGACAAGATAGCATCATCTGTATATTCTGTCGCGCATACATTAGTAAGACAACTAATAACTGAATAACTATCTTTAATTATCATTAATGAATAATAAAGGACGACGACGACGACGACGATGATGACAATGATGATGATGATGATGATGATGATGATGATGATGGCGACGATTTCTAAATCCATACAGCCTTTATTTATATAAGTAAGGAACATTATAAATGTATGAATCTCTATTCATTCGTTTATATATCGAGGGAATGTAATTTATTTTGAGATCATGTATGCCCAACACGGTTACGAATCATCGAGCGAGTCTAGTCCGTACACCTGCGTGTTAAGTTTACCGGTTAATATTACTGCATAAATAATACACATTAGTATTCATGGTGTATTTTATCAACCTCGATATGAGAAATGTGAAGAATCTGTCAACGTAATGTTACGAAACATGGTCAGGGCGTACTAGTGATTTCATTTTAAAAACATTTTTATTGGAAATAAAAACAATAGGTGCTGGGCAACCGGCTATAGCCTATATAAGTCCTTCCATCTAGGATGGATAAATATATCTGAATTATTATACAAGATAATAGTATATCATACAATCACTGCAACACCAACAACTGACATCAATTCGTATCAAATAACACACGAGTAACCTCCCCTACATCGTGTTAAGGCGAATTCAGTTCGAACAGTTTTGGAATAACAGGAAATGAAATATGTCCGTAGCCCGAAGGAAGTACATTTATCTATTAAACATATCAAATAGACTTAAAGAAATTTGAAAATGTGCACAAAAGTTACCAAAAGAAATATGTGCTAATATTTTTGGTTATAAAACCGATACAGTTGTTCAGCATTTGTTTTATATGTCATATAGCTTCGTGTTGATTCACATTTAAGCTGTACGGGATGTTTCAGTTTACACTAAATGTGTTATACAACGAACAATGTGAATTTTCTACGGTTGTCTCCTAGGTCCCTATAGTTTAGGTGATTAACTTCACTGACAGATCTTAGAATGATGAAGCAGCTGTTCGGTTTCGTTCTCTGATTCTTTGGAACTGAAAGGTGTTATTCATTAGAAAGTTTTTTTATACAGTCCTCAAAACACGGAACCGGACCATCGTAAAAACAATTGAATGTAATTCTGTACATGACCTACATCGCATTTACGACTGATTATTAAATATGCAACACATGTTAATACAAATACTTACCCTATTCACAGTCATATCTGTTTCTGACTTGTCTGTGCACATTTCGAAACGAGTTTTTCTGTAAAAGTATTTTGATAATCGGTTCTCAACGTAGTCAGTTCCACTACACGCAGGTCACAACATTAAATAACACACGACGTGGATTTGACAACAGTCGCGTGAAATGGGACACCAGTAAATTGTGAAGCGGTGTAGTGAAGTCTGAAATACGACATGAAGTAGGATTCAAAGTCAGTCGTCCATTACGGACGGTGACATAAAAATAAAAGAAGTTGTATATGTTACACAACATAACATAGACTGAGAAATGTAAATGTTTTGTAAAATTGTTGATAAAAATGAAATTGCCATATTTAATGATTTAAGTAGAAGATAAATCAATACGTTACGTCAAAAACAAAACCAGATGAGTGACATAACATGTACACGTACAGTAATTAACTTTTTCGCAAAATATATTACTAGTATGAAACACTGTCATTTAAAAATGTCAAATCTTGTGTAATTCATAAGGATTTTTACACGTGAGTGAACAACGTGTATTTACTTATTCTATTAGTTTTCCTGTGCAATTCGCAGAATTAAAGTTGTTGGTGATTAACTCCAAACATTTCAGTATCCACCATATACTATCACGAATGCAAGTCAAATCGCCCCCAAGACAAGTCGCCCCAATCCTAAATAAGGCAAGTCGCCTCCTCGTAAGACAAGTCGCCCCCTCGTAAGACAAGTCGCCCCCATATTTCAAGACAACTCGCCACCCAAAAATATAATGAGGTGTTATGCGTCAGTGACCAGTGACAGTGTATAAGTTATCAGTGACTATAAGTGACTATAAACCAGACATTATATGAAGAGCAGAAACAGTGTAGTGTGTTTGCATGTGCATATGTTTTATTGTTTATAATATTGTGTTTCTATTTAATTAGAATAAAGCGAGTCCATGTATATTAAATCATTCTAAATGTATTACTATTATTGTAGATTTGTTTAGCCTATGGATGTTCTTAAAATAAAGGTGCATGTAAATGTGTGTATATATGATGATTGAATATCTGATTTATGATTGATGTTATTTATATGATATAATGATAACGTGCATGTAAAGGTGTGTGTAAATGTGTATGTATGTGGTATATGTGTACATAATTCTTATAATTGGAATAAATAAAATAGCATCAAACAACAAAATGATTATATTTTTATTCATTATTTTTCTTCTGATAAAGGGGGCGACTTGTCTTGATGTAGGGGGCGAGCTGTCTTGACAGGGGGCGACCTGTCTTGAGATAATAGGGGGCGACTTGACTTGATACCACTATCACAGCCTGAAATGACGTCCGGTGTCGCTTTTTCAGCATGTGATCAAAATACGCACCAGTTGTATGAACGGCGACATCAGCATTGTCAGGGCTGTAACGATACCCATAGTTTGTGTCAGATGATAAACTGAAGTTTGTATATTTAGCACTTAAATGTTACCACACAGTGTCTGAATGTTCGCTGTCTTAAGAATATTTACAAGCGTGGTTAATTGTATTGAACTTTTTTATCCCGTTCGTGTTTGGTCGTCATATCTTCCGAGACGCGAATTATACACAATTCTTAGTGTATTAATTAATATAAAATTTACAGGAAGACAGACAACTACGTTTGTATGTGTTTTCTTGATCTCGTGTCCTTGTAATAGTCATCTGACAGGAACATTGATTATATTGATGAAGGGGCAAGCTCATGTGGATATTTCGACGTCACCCAATATCATTTTTACAGAGTTTCATTTTATGACAAGATAATCTTGACAAAATAGAAATTTTAAAAAATAGTACAAGTAAAGAATATTCTGTAAAATCGCTCATGCGATCAATGAAACTTATACCTTAAATCTTAAATGCTGTTTTGACCTTATGTCATAGATGGGTGGCAGAAATTCCTGTACAGATTTGATCACAATACGCCCAGAAACACAATGCCTTCATGAAGGTCGAAAAATGGAGACCATTCTTAAATAAGTAATTTATCATCACGATCAGTCAAACACGCAAACCCGCTACATTAACTGTCAACACAAGAAAGGTGTTAAAACTAGCGTAAGCACTGTTGAAATTTTATTCACATTTAAAAACAGATCTTGAGGAAGGTACATACAGAGTTGATACAGGTAGTTACGTGTGATGTCAGTTACTTGCCTTTAGTTTATTAAATTTTTTCTCTAGGAATTTCACCAAAATAGCTATTTTAATGCGATTCATACAAGTTAACGGGAGATGTTATTTTGTGTTTTAACACTAACGATGTACTAAGAAGTATGTTCAATATTTGTTTAACATTTATTTCTTAAGCAATTACATTTCTTCTGTTTCAGTGATGTGGCGATCAAAAGCCTTGACCAGACGAAGACACACAAACACAAGACCGGAAGTTAAAACTAGAGAACTTCCGGCTAAGTAAAACGCTGGTTTATACTGGTCAGTTTCATGGTAACTCGCTTCCACCGCATCTACAATAGAGCCAACTGAAAATTAGTAGTATGTAAACGCTTATTTCTATCTCAGTGGAACCATGATACTTAAGAAATCAAGGTATCCTCAATAAATGTTCGATCCTGAAAAAGTAATGATTATTCTGCAATTCGTCGCAATCGCCACAATTGCATCTGCATTAGTGTTTAGAGTGTCCTAATTCCTATACAGAATTGATACGTACACTGACATGGAGAAGACAACAGAATACCAACGCCAGCTCCAAAGTCTAGAAGTCCTTCAACAATTCGAACATTCTTCTTCCCGAAAACGGACGGAATGATGTTTTGAAGAAGTGTAGTGAACGCCGCTTAAAAGACGAAAAAAAAAAAGTTTATAATTCTAACGCAACAATTCTGAAATAACGACAAGGTAGTGAATAAAGAAAATCTGCCTTTAAAATATATTATAAAGGGCTAGTCACAGGAGAAAAATGCTGTATGAAACAGTTTAGTTCATTACTAGCTTTCACACGAGGCTACATTCGTCGAAGAGCTTTTTAATACATGTCACATAGACCTTGCTAAGTCCTTCCCTCTCCCAGTTCCCATTGTACATATGTTTATGATGTCATGTCTGAAGATTAACATTAACAAAATTTATATATTAATCATGTATATAAATGTATCTAATATAACTGGAAATCAAGACGGGTCTCTTCTACATCAGTCACTTAACCAGATCTTACTAGCAATGAAGCTAACAACGATAGCTCTCCAGCAAAGCTTTGTGATAACCGTGATATATCGACTGCTCTATTCTGAATTTGCCTTTTCTAGATAGCAACAACCTGATTTCCCAACCTTTGGAATTTTTTATGCCGCAGTTGATTCGATATTCATGAGATTGTTCACAATATCATCATTTTTGTGCAAGGCGTCGACAGTTGACGAATGAACACACGATACATGGTTTTTGAAATGAAGTTTGATGAAAATTATGGGGAAGTTTTATTGTCTAATAACGATCTATTTATATTTGTTTACATGATGATAATTTTGGCGTTTTTAATGCTTTTTAGGATGCTTGATGATTCCATGCTTAACCTGATTCTTATCTTCTCATTTGGGAGCGTGACATTACATAGTTGAATTGACCAAGATTTCTATGACAGGAGTCGTCGATAAACAAATGACGTATAACTTTCCGGAACATCTGGTCTTATTTCTTTTGTTTATTATTTTGTCCTAGCTTCATCATATTTGAGCTTGAATAAAGGTTCTGTTGACACTGCATGCTTTTATTTGTTTTTTTTTGTTTTTTTTTTTTTTTTTTGTTTTTGTTTTTTTTTCATAATCTCGAAATGAAATTATTTTACAGTGTATTTTTTGCGTCATGGTAATTAGAGAAAAAAAACAAAGAACCAAAATCGAAGTAAGCAATGATTATTGCGTTTGATCTGCATCTTGAAGTAGAATTTTCATGTAAAAGTTCTACTAATTGAAGACAAGGCTATTGTCAAACAAACTTACCTTTTGAGATACCCAGAGTGCCAGCATACATTGAGATATGGAATAGATTCGTCGACCAGGTTGCAGCAATTGTCCAGACACCAGCGATAAAGTCAATTGGTCCCATGAAACGCAAGGTTGGCAAGATCTGTTTCTTTATACAACAAAACATAAACATTGGCCCGAAGATCTGACCTCCATAGTAGAAAAAGCCACCCAGGTAGGGAGCTGCCGAGCTGTCGCTCGTATCGAAAAAAGTAAAGATCTCTTTTGATAAAATGAACTGACCTGGAAAAAGACAAGAAAATACGTAATTATATGTGCAAATAAGACGATGTAGCTATTCAGGTTCAGGTAAGAAGACATCAAATTTATCAATGGAAAGAGTAAAAAGTGACCAATCGAAAATTTAAAAAAAAGATACACAAAGAAGAGCACATTTTAATACAAATTTCAAATTAGATACAAGGGAACTAAAAAATTAATTAAACAGCATAACACGGATGATTTTGGTCTTTCTAGGACTTGTCAGAGATATCAATGAGCTTAAATGTTGAAACCTAGAAGACGAGTAAGGAAACTCAAAAGTGATCGAAAGAAGTGACGAAATCAGGAGGGGCAAGTGCACAAGGCCATACTTCAAGAAATATCGTACTTTTTATATATCTGGCAATTTCTGAATAACGTCAAGTACATGTGTAAATTATGAACCGTGCCACTATTCGAAATTACGGCAAAAGTAGAGGTGACATTTGGTAGCTGTCATATTACATTACAAAAGATTAATTACCAAACCGGTCACATAGTAGAATGGCCATCATTATATACAAGGGCTTTTGGCGAAATACACTCCAATCAAACGGAGAAAAGTATTTTTTGATCCATTTTTCATTTGAAGGTTGTAATTTGGTAGAAGCAAGCAAAGCGAATGCCATGACCAATAGTTGCCATCGATAAAGTCTTCTCCAGTTTAAATCAATGTCATCTGTTGCCCAACTGGTTGCAAGTATTCCATAGTGAAGAACAGACGCACACGCTCCACCAATGTTAACAAAGGCAATAGCAATAAAGCGGCAGTTTTGTATGTTCTCCAGAACTGGAACTACCGCTGCTAGTTTCACGCAAGAAGCACCAACTCCTGAAATTAAAGTTGATCCTTGAGAAAGATTGATCAGGCGATGACACAAAAATCTACTATACTGGAATACATTGATGTTTATTTTGTAAAAGGGAATTGACCGATAATTGTGTAACGGGTGTCGTGAATCAAGCAAACGAGGCGTACATTTAGGAAACAAATGGAGGTATTCCAACCTGAAGCACAAACCTGCGATGCCACCGACGAGAACTCCAATCAGGCCTATAGTGGCTTTGTCTAACCAGGATGCCACCAGCAGACCTGACATCATCATTAGGCATCCACTAACCGCCACCACCCGGTAGCCAACCTTCAGCGAGACCAGGGCCGCAAATATTGCTGGAACATTGCATGTTTTCATAACAGTAGGGTCATATTGACGTAACTATACGCGAGTGATTAACGTTCATTATAGCAGGACTAGACATACATACATTGCTGTAACATTATAAAGTTTGAGGTAAATTCAAATATGATCCTTTTTACATGTTTGCATTTTATCATTAATTATATAAGTACTGATTTCGACATAACTTATGCAATGGAGAGTATATGTTGTGTATGTTGAGTCAGTATTCTTTCCCAAGCTATCAGTAATATGTTGATAAAGAGTCACACCTGATGCAGTTTACCGAAGTAAAAACAGTTGGAAGCGGTAAAGAGGTATTGCATTTAATGAAGCCATGCATCATTAAATATCTTATGTACTTCAATGTTTAACTTTTCCTTCTAAATAATGTATATCTGCTTGTTTTCGTAGGAATGTCATTTTCGCGATTTTCGCGGTCGAGCTTGAACGAGAATTCAAAAGTTCAGTTAACATTTCCAGCATATATAAAGAGCTTTTCAATACAAATAATCAATCACATTAAGATGTAGTTAGTAAAGATGTTACTAGAAATCAAGAAATGAAAGATGTATATGTTACACGCTGAACTACCTCACTAATTGTGAGCTATTTGTTTTAGCAGAGTTTCAAATATGTCGAAGATTGCAACTTCTTTTGATCCACACATGGTGCTTATAAGCAGCACATGATAGTTTCAAATTTTGGTCAATATATAAATTGTTACATCAAAAGTGCTTGTCTTTAGACCTTTCAACAATGACGAATCGCTTGGTTGAATGACACCCTACGAGAACATTCAGAATCGCAAGACAACAGTATCATGCAACAAAGTAATATCTTGTCTGGTATATTATCGTTTGTACAAAAAAACTAATTACTTGTGAGAGAGCTGACCCCGCTATACACCCGTCGAACCTCGCGGTCACCAGTCTCGCCCCAACCACTTGTGTATCCGAAAGCTTCATCGTCCGCTGTGACCCAATGGTTGACCAGGGAGAAGCTACTGTTTATTACTGTACATAATAGGACCGTCACGATGGCTCTGTGTGAACAACAATACGATGTGCTTCCGCTTCCGGACTCATCTTCCTCGGTACTTTCATCTTGTTGCTGTTTTTCATAAATAGAAAGATTCAGGTCAGATTGGTAATGAAAAATGTACCTACAGACGGTCTTATGCGACCAGGTAGTTGTGAGCTGCGATAATGTAACGGTTTAAATATTTTACAAAAAAATACCAATTGCTAAGATACAGTAAATACCAAATTAATTTAACTATACGCCATCCACTCGATCTTCGTTATATGACTTGTCAGTGATGAAAGAGATGGAAGAATGTAAAAGAACAAGATCCCAAATGTTGCAATCGACATATGTATCGACAGGTTTCGAAATATATGTTTGAATTTATATTATTTAACGTTTTATCAACAGCTACGGTCATTTAAGTATGACCGCCATTGTATGTACGTTAGGTCCTTTTCTGATTTGAACCTAGTTGGCTACAAGGTTTATCATCAATAGTAGATATACATCTTTATTGCCATTGAGATTCTGGTGAAGCTTAAACGCTTCTTTGTGAGTTTTATTCGGTCAATCGATCCGTCTGGTCCCTACATCACTAGGAGATTGCATGTTCATATAAAGACGATGATATGGTCACTTAAGGGCGTTTCAAATCATCAACACATTTAAAATATTATAAAACTTAACAAGATAGCATAACATCACAGTCTATCTTACTGCACTGAAAGCATGCGTGTCTGTTCTCTTAGTAGACTCACATCCAGACAAACGGCAATAGTGGTTTTTATAGCCGAAGCTTTTCTGTCGAGTAAAATTGACTGAAAAAAAAATGTAAAAAAAAAATATGAACATGGAAAGGTCTTTATCGATATAAGACAATACGAACAAAGGGAGTAATATTAGTGTTCCTGAAATGCAACTGTCTTCTGGTTTATCGACGACAAGTTCATGTATGTTATATTGAAATTAGGCACCAGGAATGATGTAACACTCAGTGTTTCCCAAAAACAGCATTACAACGGTCATTAAACGTCTCAATAACTGCAAACTTTTCTGTCAGCTGTAAGCATTCATCGCGAAAATAATGATATTGAATAGCAGTCACGTAAATCAATAACAAAATTAAATAGGTTAAACGTTACTATTCAGAAATGGAAAAGTTCACTTTAAGGAAACTGAAATCAAAGAGTTTGTACAAGCAATGGTATCAGTGCAGAACGTTAATGCATTTGACTAGACTATAAATAGATGGAGAACCCAATACAAGACGCTGGTACCTTAATCATTATCAGGTCATCGGAGTAATTGGATGTAGAGAGGCTTCGTCTATGGTGAGTTCTTTGCGTAATCTCCTTCATGCGTTTATGAGTCAGAAGGGCCCACGCCCAATAGAAACAAGACGACAGTTCTTAGGGAACTTCACGATAAATACCACACAAAATTATAGTCTATGCCTACCAGTACAATCGACGATTCTTCCGTAAACTGTTTATCCATGTGCTGACAGAGCTAACTAACGTTGGATTTTAGATTCAAATTCGTCTAAAGTTGTCTACATCTCACACCTGTGAGTTTATCGTATTGCACAGGTCCAGATTTAGTGACTATGATAACGACACTTAAACTTGTGTCATATATCTAATCGAAATTTCTCTTAATCTTATGTAAATGTAACTTGGTTCACGTGAAATTTAAATGATAAATATTATACAAATTACTTTCTTAATGTTACGACATACATTTTTGTTCGTCAGGATTTTTTTAGCCGATATTTAATAATTCAACGTGTACCTGTCGTTTGTTTGCATGTGTTATCAATTATATCTGTTATCAAACGTCAGGCCCATGATTAAATAGATATAAACATTGTGTTGATTTAAAACGGCATTCGATTGCCGGTAATCATGGCGAAAGATAAAACCAATCAGCATTAGCTTAACGTTCCGAGACATTCGACATGTATCAAATATGTTTGTGCGTGAGGTAAGGAGAGGTATGGGCTAAAACATTCAGGCAGCCGTATTCACTTCAATTGTTCACTGGACTGTGTACGTTGGTTTTATATGTCTTAACAACCTAAACTTTGAAACAACCCGGCACAAAAACGAATACTAACGAGCATCAAACAGGTCTATTAACGAGCATCAAGCACACCTAACTTCATTTCACATGATATGATTATGACGACTGTAAAACTGCACCTCTCGAAACTCTTGTGTTGTGAGTTTGTCTATCAGTTGATAAGCTCTTCAATATACTCAGCTCAGTATGAAAACAAAACGTCAGCCAATAAAGGGACACAGTTAGTTCCTATAGGTATGCCAATAGTCTGTTAGAAGATCGTACCACCGTACGCTTCAATGTTGTCCACAATCATGTTACTGCATCATGATACACCTTTCATTGAAAAGCTCCCATAACAAGAGAACACATGCGTCCTATCAGTTTAGGATTGGGTAAAGTGGTGAACAAAGTCCTAAATTTCAGAAGAGGGTGTTCAAGTTTAGTCAAAGGCTCTACGCAGTTCTTTAAAACCCACATACCACTAATTCCTCTTCTTGAAGAAACATTATAACTATAAGACTGTATCCAAGATTTGATAGTACAAAGAATGGTAGACAGATGTTTTGGTTCAGTTGAGCAACTGAGGAGCCAGAAATAAAACACTGCTATGGATGCTCTCAAGTTTAGGAATCCAATGAAATAAGTAAGTTCCATATCCTTATCTGCATGGTTGTAATACTGACACATGATTAGCTAGTATTTCTTTCTGGGAAACAACGGATGATGTATAGATAGTGTCTCCTCCGTCACCGAGCAAGCCTGGTTCTTTTCTGTATGCAGAAAACGTATTTTCGTCTATAAAAAGGATAAAGTTAATATACGCCTTGTCTGCAGGCACAATTACATGTTCATACCCATCATGTACATATTGAAGAGTTGAGGTTAAAGGGATACATGACTTGTGTTTTCAATTTATATTTTAAGCTAATATTCTCTGAAAATGATAGACCGACTGGATTTAATCCACTCTGAAAGTGATTCCAATCCGGCATGTTTTCTTTTCACTCACTCTCTGACATAGTTTTCTAAGGAATCCATGAAAATTTTGAAATTCACATTCCAATTAATGTAAGGGTTTTCACGATATTTTTTACCCTTCATGAAAAACTAAGATGGACTATAGTAATAAGTAGCAATACATCTGCCATGGATATTTTTCATAAAGGAAGGAGCTAACGGAATACTGGACATTTTAAAATAAAATATGGACAAAGGTCTCAAATTATCTAAACATGAACTATTGTCATGGTATAAAGATTCATGTACTTCTACTTCTCACATTTCGCTAATGATCATCAATGTTTTCAAAAAGAAATTTGAATGCCAGTAAAGATATCTGTTCCTTTCAATCTATTTAGGCTAATGTATGGAAACCTTCTTACAGCGTGTGTTCAGTCTTCATGTATACAACCCTGTCAAAAGGTAAGTTAATAACTAAGGTGTGTTAAGGAAATCAAGTATATACATCTACTATCCGTTTTTATTAAGAGCACAATGCGAACCAGACAAGAATTAAATGGTGAAAGGAAGAGGACATCAAAACGCTTCAGATCTTCGGGTGTCTCAAGATGTTGTCAAGATAATGGAATTGTCTTCAAACAACGGAAACCTTTCCAGATGTCGTGCTAGATTGTTTATGAGCTACAACACATTGCTGAAACAGATTTCTGCTGGTACAGGCTACACAGGACTGTTACAACTGTACGAAATATGACATATATCATCCAGGGGCAGGTAGTTCTTCAAAAGGATTTTAAAAAATTGGACACAATTTTGCATTGTAGGTATATAAATTAAATTAAAATCTAAACAAATAGATATATGTGACATCTCTTTTCAGCTGAAGTGACATCAAATTTAGCTGGGGGGGGGGGGGGGGGGGGGGGGGGGGGGGGGGGGGGGGGGGCACTCAGTGGTCGCTATGTACAGGTAATTGCTAAAGAAGATTTTATCAATTGTATGACAGAATTGCCAGGTGTTTTCTTCCTTCTATCAATGTGTTGATTATCATTTCACAGAAGGAAGTTTTATTTAAATGAATATCTCATTGTAGTTATATGTAACAATATTGAAAATAAGCATCATATATTTTGTATTTCCATAAGCCATCTGGTTGGATAAGATCATTTAAACAGACGAATGCGTCAACTACCTATAATATGAATATAGTGTTTACAATCAATCATTTTTTGTGACAGTGGATTAAAAATAAGAAATACAAAAAATATGTTTAAATATTTTTAATCTTCATATTGAGAGATACAGAATCTCATCACTGAAGCAAAATAAGTAAAAAAAAAAAATATTGAAACAGAAACAGTTGTAGAAAATGCGTATATGTTGATATAACATAGCAATGCCAATATACAGAAGTTATCAATGAATCTTTAAAAACATATGTACGATATGACCTGGACATTTTCATCTTGAAGTTACATAACCAGTGATGGTTGCTCGACTTTTCTGATGGACATTTTTAAAGTCATAACAATATGGAAACACATATATCTGCTGGAAATATGCATCAAGTTTCTCTGTATCTAAGACTGTAAACTCTTTCTGTTTGTAATTCTGTTGTATCTTATTGATGAAAATGTCACTTAATTAGTACAAAAATATTAAATATGACTGCTTTAAAGCAAGTATCTATTACTATCTGGTAAATATATATATATCTTTTTGTTAAAGTCTATTCCTATGCAATATCTTTTTAGTACCAAATAATAAAAATAAATATTTTTGAAAATCTAGAATCAAATAATACAAGGATCAGAAGTGTGTTCTACTAAAAGTCTAATATGCTTAAAGAGACAGATACAAATTCGGAACGACTTATCAGAAAATAAAGCAGAAAAATGCGTTCTTTAATAAATGACGTTTTTATAAATTACTTTCATTGTTGTTAAACAGTTTAACATTTCAATTTAAATATACATGTAATATTCAGTTTCATTTTCAAGCTAAAGATCTTACACACACAAGTTTGATTAAAGATAATAATAACTTTACTTCATTCATTTTAAAAAATTGGATTGCCAGATCATCAATGAAATAAACATGACATTACTAGTATCCTAACTATCAAGGAAGAAATACTGTTCATCTGACATGTTTTTATATTATGAGCAAACTGTAAAACCTAGATCTGTAGAAGAGCCAAGTGTCAGTCATGTGATGAGATCTCGTATGGCACTCCACAAAAACAGAAAAAAAAAATAAAGATTATGAACACATGTATGATAGATGACAGAAAAGTAAAGCACCAACTGGTAATCAAAATAACAATATAACATTTCTGTGCTGCTATATTGTAAATAACAGAAGTCAACAAAATGCTAACTGGGGAAGGGAATAGAGATTAAATTGTATTTCACATGAAACTGTAAATAATATCAACTTGAAACAACTTTTATGTAATATTTAGGTTTTGTAAACCTTCATGCAACATAACAAAATGGAAGATTTTCGTGTCAACATGAAGGTGAGAAAATGATGAATACCTGATACTGATATTATACATAATCTGTCTGTATTTATGAGAACCTAAAGCAGATGTTTTCTTCCATCTTTCACTCTAGAAGTATTAATATCTATCTGATTAGGATAGCATACTTCAGAATAAAGTAACGTGGATCTTTCTGCTCATCTTCCATGAACTATATGAAATCCTTCGACAGACTATCTAGAAATTCTTCAGTAATTATTTATTGCACTGCAGAGGAATATTAACACAAACATTTCCAGACCAGACCATAACTCCACAGCAGACAAAAACATTGGGGGAAAGAAAATGTGTCCCACAACACAACAAATTTCAGATAGTTTTAAAAACAGAAATATTGATACACAGCATTTAATTACGAACTAACCCTGTCAACAAAAATTTCTCACAACAGCACAGGCAAGACTCAAGTCACATACAATGCTTGTACAGGATTAGTCCAATACAGGAAATATGGAAGACAAGTTTGATTTTGATTTTCCAATTGTAGTTTGCATTGTTAACATTTCAGGTTCTTTCACTTCCTAAAAGTAAATTTGAAATAAAAAAGGTCCATCTATTTTCTTTGTTAATATTTGAAGTAATCAACAACACTGGCAAAACTTATAACATTCTCTAAGAGCTACAACAAGGAGACTTGTGTCCCTTACAGTGTTTATTGGCTGGGTTTATTGACTGTGTTTATTGACCTACCATTAGACATGGTCACTTGAGGCAGAGTCTCCTTGAAGTAACTGGTGGTTACTTCACTGAACAACATACAGAAGTCCAGTTACATACAATCCACTGCAATGGGGGCAAAGTATTTGCCCAAAGACATGTCCATCTCAGGACATGTCTGTTTCCATTTCCAACAGTATACCCAGGATTGTGATGAGTAAACTGATCACAATAATCATTCAAATAGATAATGACAACTTTTGCATTAAGGCGGATAATCTACAGATCCATCTACCTCAAGATGATTTGACACTTTGGTAGACTTGGCTTAATTGTAATGCTGATTTTAACATCTGACCCTAACAAATGAAAGTCATAAAATATTTCTGTACATTTATGTAAAAATATATACATTTCTGCATCAATATCTTAATTTGTCCCAGTAGTGCTGTTTGAAAATTTAGAAATGTTACAAATTTTAAAGTGAAAAATTTCAGAGCAATACACATTTTAATACAATATGTCTTGGACAGGCCTTTGAGACAAAGTGGTTATCGACCATGGAAACGTAAGAACATTACACAGTCAACACCAGTTTTAAACACAAAACCAGAATAACTTAATCAAAACAATTTTGACAAATCATTACAGCATAAAGGAATTTAATGTTTACTTTCACCATTGAAAAGGCTTTGTCTATGTTGGATTGTGAATTTGTTAAATAACACTAAGAGTTCAAATTAAGAATATGGGAACAGTTAATCAAAGAGGCATTTCTTTAAATGTTACAAGAGACATAATGAAAACTGAGTTTCTTTTTCTATAGGTGGTAGCGGCCAAAATACACAGCCATCATTCTATATCTAAAGGCAAGGATAAAGCAGCTTGTTATGTGGATCAAAACGATTACTACAAAAGACATAGAAAGGATAGATGTACTCCAAAATATTGATCTACCATTTGGTAACTGATCAAATGTTGACTTGATAACAGCAGTGTAGTGACTGGTGGTGAAACTAAACAAAACTTTGTATACCTAATTTCACTTAAGACAGATTGATGTTAATAGGCTTCCATTTTTATGTATTTATGTTGCTAGTGGGTTGTTACATTCAGAAGTATAAAAAGTACCATCATAACTAACATTTCACTTCTATGTTATTGTATCAAATAAGAAATCATACATTTAAAGATTTAATGAGCTCTGTTGATTCATTGAATGCTGTACTGAAAGAAAGAAGAAATATTCTTTATAATTCAAGGCACATCTCTATACATCACAGATGTTTCTGGAATAAATTCTCTCCTAAATTTGTTGGGGAGTCCTTTGTTTTAACTCTAGAAACATCAGAAATGTTTTTTCAGTCGTTTGTTTTCTTCGCGTAGTTTCTCTACCTCAGCCACCAGATCCTGATTTACAGAGTAATGCTGCAACAAGCTGTTTACCTCGTTCTGTAATTATAACATTCGAGAATTAGTCTATAAAGGGGACACAATGTGTAGAAAACCTTGACAATACTGTTGTAATTGAATGGTTTAGGAATACAGTCAAACAAAAGAAATTAATAGGTATCATAAATAGGGACAATTTCAATTCAATGTCCTCATATAGAATCAGTTGTTAGGTATTTCAAAACATGAAGATGATAAAAGATGGAAAATATGCATTTCTGATTTACCTGTTGAATTTGGAATTGGCGGATCATCTCCACCTGTAGATTCTGCATTTCACGATGCATCTGGTCGTAAAAGTCCTCTAGCTCATCACGTATTAAATTCCTTAACACCTGTGTCTGGAAGTTCCCTGCTGGTAAAGCTTGTGGTCCTACCTCCAACTTTTGACCTTCTTCTAAACTCTTGCTTCCATATGCCTGATTTTGTGAACCATAACTTCCCTGCAAGACATTTTCTGAACTTTGGCCCCCATTAAATGTGTCCTGTGAAATTTGACTCCTGTGTGATAGGTTATATGAATCCTTACCCCTATGTGTCAGATGCTGTGAAGTTGCATCTACTGATGCAGAATACACACTGGTCACAGCATTCACACCCTCTGGGGAAGGGAACTGTTTCACTCCAGAGTTATCTGCCCCTGCACAACTTCCTGGTGAATCATCCAGATTTAACACAGGAATGCTTGGTGATGCACTGATACCAGTTGGACGAGATGGACTGACCCTTGGGGCAACCTCTGCTCCAACATGTGAAGGGGTGGAGCGACTAGGACTAGTACTAGACCTGTACACATGAGATTGACCTTGACCTTGGCTCTTTGACCTTGATATACCATTTTGCAAATATGGACTTCCTCCATTTGACATGACACTGTCTGTAGGATAAATCAAATAGAAAGCTTGAAGTTTGGAGTTAAAACCAATATCATTTATTAATGAACATGTAGATGACTTGAGCCATAACTATAAAAAAAAATGAAATTTGTTGTTCATATGAAACTGTTATCATAACATCATTTCATTTGAGGAGTTAGATTAGTCTTTGCTGAGATGTTTCAAGCTAGAAAATGAGGGTTGTATCAAACCCTGCCCACAGACATTTTGATTTACCTTGAATGTTGCGTTGATTACCATGGCTTGCACTGGATGGAGTACCCATTCCAGGAGGCGAAGAAAACTTACTACTGCTGTAGTAGTTATCTTGTTGAGACCTTGATCCATTGACCGTCTACAATATCAATGATACAGTATTTGGCTAAAGAGAAATCAATTTATCAATTTGTGTTGTTGACTTGTGATGTGCTGTGTCTATCTAATCATTAGATTTCTACATTAAAATTCAAACTTGGAAAAACATTTAAACAAGAAAACCTGAGAAAATGAATATCAGTGAGTTAACAAACAAAGGTTTCATTAAAATTAATTAATTCATTTAACTATCAATATATAACACACAAGGTCAGCAAGGCGTGACAACAATAAGAGTGTATATATGCAATATCAAAAGTAAATATTTTGGTTAAGAACATTTATCTCAACATAAATATTCAAATTGTTGATAAAAGAAGCCTATGAAATATCTGTAACAGGAATTATGTTACTGGCTACTTCTGATCACCCTGAATTTTCTGAATAGTATGTATTGAAATCAGAGAAATATGTCTTCTGCCAGGGATTGGAATTTAAATAGCATTAACTATCAAACTGGGATGGATATTACCAGGTATGTTTCAGGAAGTGGCAAGATTTTGAATGAAAACAGGAATAGAACATTTTTTACAACTTGTCAGTCACTTAATCTAATAAATAGTATACACAATAATGTACAAAATAAATTGTATTTAGATAGAGCATATACTGGTATATTGTAAATCAAGAAAAAGGGGAAAGAAAATCACTTTAACAACACTTTCTACCAGACAATATATGTTACTGTAAGAGACAGATATGTTCCACTGGATAGAGCAAGACAAACGGACTTGTTACTCTCTCTGAAACAGGGGTGTACAAAGACAGATTGAGTCAATCAGTTCGACACTTGTTCTACAACCTACCAAACTGTATATAGTACAGGCTGAGACAGGTATATCCTAGGACAGGGCAAGACACACTGTATGTGCTACTGTCAGAGACAGGTGTGTTCCAGGACAGGGCGAGACCAACCGTATGTGCTACTGTCAGAGACAGGTGTGTTCCAGGACAGGGCGAGACCAACCGTATGTGCTACTGTCAGAGACAGGTGTGTTCCAGGACAGGGCGAGACCAACTGTATGTGCTACTGTCAGAGACAGGTGTGTTCCAGGACAGGGCGAGACAAACTGTATGTGCTACTGTCAGAGACAGGTGTATTCCAGGTCAGGGCAAGACAAACTACACATGCTACTATTAGAGAGAGGTGTATTTCAGGACAGGGTAAGACAGACAGAATCACTTTTTTTGGACAATTATTCCACAACCTATCAAACCTTTGGTGTTACTGTCATAGACAGGTATACATATCAGGTCTGGAACAAATCAGTTGACCGATTTCATTCAATTTTTGTTCATAGTGTAAATAGTATTGCTAATGCTGATTGACTGAGTAATATCAGATCAGCCCAACAGGAAGCTCATTTTATACGAAGTTGGGTAAGATATAAATGGGTGAATTTTAACTCTGATTGAAAATTGAATCATTCAACAGTTACTGCCTGTATATTGATTCTCAATAAATTGTTACACCGCTAATACATATTTTCTAGGATGGGGTGTGACAATCTCTTTAAAAACAGTTACACAACCTACCAAACCGTATGTGTTGCTGTCAGAGACCGGTGTGTTCCAGGATGGGGTAAGATTATTGCTGTGGTTGGTGAAAAGTGGAGACACACCAATATTTTCATGATAGTTGCAGCTTCCTGCATCAGCAAGAGGTGAGAAGATGCCACCTGTGAATAAATGAATTGAATATAAATATCAAAGTTCTGGTATGTTACTTTATTGACAAGATGCAACCTGAATATGGTCCATAAAGACTTGAACTATCAATATTCAAGAGCATTTCAAACAATCTCCGCTGTCCTCACACATGCACATGTGCTAGGAAACACTAGCTATTTCATTAAGTAAAATCTATGTACACACATTCCTTGTCCTGATCTATATATATGGATGTAAACATTAATGAACGCCTCTTTTAGGTTTGTTAAAAATCATCTATAATCTTATAATGCATTAAAGAAAATTCATTTCATTACTTCTGTAAGACTCTCATCTTCTGTCATCTTTTGTGATAAAAAAACATATCAGGTAAATTTTAAATATAGTGTTTGCTACACTAGAGACCTACATGCCCAATACAGACCTGTCATGTATATACCCATATACAGGTCATTTTTGTTGCTTGTGGCACACCACTCACCTCTCACAGAGATTATTTACTCAAGAGACCAAGTAACAAAGGGTCCAATTTTATTAGAATAAATGTCAAATTAAAAATGACCTTTATAATCACCAATCAGCATTTAATATGCCTATGCCATTCTCTATTTATTCATAAATACAGGACTTTTCCGTTTAAATTTGAACCAGTAAAATTGATCAACCATTCTTACCAAGCTGTGCAAAGTGTGCAATCCCAGTGTACAGTTATACAGAGGATGTTGTATTGTGTGTGTGTGTGAGATGTATGCATAATTTGCTGATGATGTATGCACAAAGTGTGCACTAATTTTTTGGTGCATTATACAATACAACAACTGTACCTTTACCTGTTTAAAGCTTAAAACAACATAATCTGAAATGTTTTAAATACATAAACACTGAATCAAAACACAGAATTCAGAATAATTCCTGAATGCTGACCATGTATTGGGTAATTAGAAATCAAAATAAACAAAACAAGCCGGAAGAACTTACTTGATGACTGATTGTCCTGACGGAGGAAGGATCCCAGATTTGAGCCAGAATTTGACATTTGCTCTGCTTCTCGGTCACTATACCCAGTCAGTGAGTTAGCTACAACAATTTGTTAATATCGTGGGTTCTCTTAATCTACGAATTCACATGTCCACAAATTGTTGAAATTAGTATAAGTAGATTTCTTGAGCTCAAACAAACAAGAATCCTGAAGAACTTTATTCCTGACCTTGTACTTTTAAACCCTTACATAATATTATGACAGGGGAAAGGTTGCTGCCAAGATTGGTAATAATGTACATAGTGATACTTACCATGGGAGTCCTTGACAGGAGAAAAAGTGTCATTGTCAGGCAAGCTCCCATCCATCCTTCTGGGACCATAATCTGTTTTCTCAACTGTAAATAAATATTTTTCAGAGATGTAATTTTTTTCCCCAAGTGTTTCAACAAGGTACACCTCAAATCTGCATCTGTTACACCACCAGTAATTACTGGAATGGCAGCGATGAACATCACATGACATCCACTTATCTTTTATCAAATATCATGGCTTGTAAACTTTAATCTGTGTCCAGTTATTAACTAACATTATAACAGAGCCAATGATAGTAAGCTTTCCCAATCCCATTGTCAAGTAACTCTCTTCGTTGAAATGTGTGAAATTTTGTTGCGGGGGTAAAAATATCTGTACAGTACAGGTAAATGTTCGAATCATGAGGTGTCAATGACTGTATTATCATAGCACACAGTTCGTGATAAAACTTTGATACATCAAAAAATTTCAACCATTTCAGTTTGATTCCTAAAAGTTTTACTGTATTGTAACAAATACAAATAGGGAAATAAAGCATATAAAAAAGGCAATCAAGTTTGAACAAAACAAGCTGAAAACTGATCATGAGAAAGCCGACCTGCTGACAAGATCAAAATGATGAAAATAACAACAGGCGTTCCTTCTCTGGAAGTTTTAGCTATGATTGTTATGCTTGAGGAAGTTGTTGTCTGTTGGCTTTGTATTTATTGTACTTTTGATGTTTGAGGATTTGTTGGAGATTGAGGATGCTGTTGTCTGTTGGCTTTGTAGTTATTGTACTTTTGATGTTTGAGGATTTGTTGGAGATTGAGGATGCTGTTGTCTGTTGGCTTTGTAGTTATTGTACTTTTGATGTTTGAGGATTTGTTGGAGATTGAGGATGCTGTTATCTGTTGGCTTTGTAGTTATTGTACTTTTGATGTTTGAGGAGTTTGTTGGATATTGAGGATGCTGTTGTCTGTTGGCTTTGTAGTTATTGTACTTTTGATGTTTGAGGATTTGTTGGAGATTGAGGATGCTGTTGTCTGTTGGCTTTGTATTTATTGTACTTTTGATGTCTGAGGAGTTTGTTGGAGATTGAGGATGCTGTTGTCTGTTGGCTTTGTATTTATTGTACTTTTGATGTTTGAGGACTTTGTTGGAAATTGAGGATGCTGTTTATCGAATAGAAACCCATCTTACTTCTGGTGGTCTTTATAATTACCTGTGATGTTAGAGGAGTCTGCTGGAGCTTGAGGGAGCTGTCGTCTATTGGGTGGCGACACATCCTTACTGTTGGCAATCTTTGACCCACTTTTACTCAGAGACTCAGACTAAGGTAGAAATACAGTAAAATTATCATTGAGTCATTTTACTAACAGTCTTATGTCAGCTATTAAGGCTTCCCATAAGAGGAAGTCCTAATTCATTTGGGTAAGATCAATACCAAAGGTACTTCCTGAAAGTTACCATGTGAAATGCACAATGTAAAGTAAAATGTTAACAAAACATTATACAATCACTTAAGTATAAAGTATTTCATTCACATCTCAGATTTTGCCAACTTAAAGAATAAGTGATTTCTGCTTTTGTTAACATAAACATGTGCAATTTTTGATTTTGGAAAATATTGCAGTGCTTTCTGGAAACAGAGATAACAAAGATTTTCACAGAATGAACTGATCTACATATACATCTTTTACAAGTAAAACAGACTGAAGATTTATTGAATTGATGACACCATTTAATATATATAATCACTTTAGGGAAATATGTAAAGACTTAGGAAACCTCTATGTTTCTCTCTGATAAGGTAGAACATTCCCAAGAAATAGGGTGTGATGGTTGATATTGCCTTAACTTTATTAAACAAAGGAATTCATGGGGTTTTTGTTTTCATTCTTGCTTGATCAAACGTATGTCTCCATTTTCTTGTATCCCTATTTTCAGATGTATACTAATGGAAAAAAAATAAAATAAATAACTGGTCAGTAGCCGATGATGAAGACTTTGCATAAGTTCGAACATCACATGGGAGACCCCTTCATGCTTCTCGAAGCAACAAAGGTAAAATGTTCTGTTCAAGGATGTAACAAAGACAGCACAGAGACAATCCATGATGCAGTCTCCTGGGAAACACAAACTGTCTGGAGTTCGGATCAAACTACTGACCACAGATATTAACCTCAGATGTTGTAAAATCCTATGGTCAATCAACTGAGCGATAACTGCCCCTTCTCTGAAAGCACCACAAGTGCCAAATTTATCACAGTGTCACATAATACTATACTTAAGAGGACATAGGGAAGAATATGGTCACTAAAGATCATTCTCAACATTATTTTCAGGTTTTCAAGGAAGACTGTCTATTTGTACTTCATGCAATACCTGTATTGTTCGCTTGCAGCACTTACCTGTATGTTGTTGGTGAACCGCAGACACTGGACTGATGACTTATGGGCATTCATGACTTTAACAGGTGTGTCACCTTGGCGAAGGTCATAAATGTATATTTTGCCACGTGTAGATCCAACGGCAACTGTTGCACCATCAGGCATTACATCCACAGAAGTGAGGGGACTTTCTGCTACAATCACCTTTGGATACCTGTAAAGATTTTACAACACAAGCTAGTGGACTTCCTTAAAATCACCTTCAGATACAACAAAAGTTAGGGAGCCTTCTGCTTCTACGTTATATTACTTTTAAATATAAGACAAGTTAGGGAGATTTATGCAGACTTTCGCAGCTGGATACGATATATGGGATGTGGTATCCACACTGACAAGGATACAGAGATAACAAAAATCTCTCCTTAAAATCCTCTTTGATCAGCTTAATTGCAAGTAGTTGTGATAACAGGAAATGAAGGTAATCAGCCATATGAGATCAGCAGTAGAATACTTTATAAAAACTCACTTCTTGCCTTCCAGATCATAGCAGATAATGCGCTTGTCAAGGCCAACAGATATAAGGAATATTGCGTTGATGGGAGAGAAGTTAATGCCAGTGGCAGGTGCACGGTGGGCATCACTGAAACTGTGGATAAGACGACGTGTGTTGGTATCCCACAGGTTAACAGCCCCATCATCTGATGCTGAACCCAGTAATGACTTCTTAAAGTGACTGTATTGAATCTCCTTAACAGCCTGGAAAACACAGTTATCAACAAATACAGATATTTCATAATGCATTGTACTGCTAGGTCCTCCTGAAAACTGACATACAAGGTATAGCTACTAACCCCAAACAATCATTAATATGTGTATACCTGCTTCAGTTTGCCAACAATTTAGTGTGTAGTTCATTTGTTGTTTTTGTTAAGTCATTTTTAAAAAGCAAATTCTGGAAATGATATATCTGCTGCTGGAATACAACAAATTCATACAGTTGGTATATAAAAAATACATTTTGTTAGATCCAATTTTCCCCCCAGTTATCATTTTACAAGACAATTTGCAAGAACTCCTCTTCCTGCTCAAGTTTTTTTGTAAATTTGTGTTATCAATTTACCATGCATTATAAAAAATTGAATAGGGGATTTTAGAAAAACACCTGGAGGTCATGGAAAAAAAACAGAAGCACTAGATTTCATAATCTCAAAGTGAGAGAAAAAAAGAGGTACAGGCATTTTGTTGACAACAATTACACTACTGCTTCATTTATTGTTGATGAGCATTAACTACAAAAATATTAAAAATATTCTTAAAGTGGAGTTTCATTTAATTTTACCTGTGCCTTAGGAGCAACCATTGGACTGCAGCCTTGTCCCGATACAGCATTGTACACAATTATCTCCCCTGTGTCAGAGCCTGAAGCGATGTACGTATCATTCCAGTTAAACTTAGCACATGTCACCGTTCCAGTGTGGCCCTGGAAAATCAAGACAGCTATTACAATGCCTGTGGCACATTTTTTTTCAAATCTCATTTAGATACAAATAAACATTTGAGTATAGTATTCATGATCAGAGGTCAAAAATCATGGCATTATAACAAGAAGAAATATCATCAATATTAAGACAATTTTACATAAAGAAAAATATTTTTGACTTAAAAAATGAATGTAAAAATTGTTGAGAAAACCTACCACTAACTTTCCCACCTATTTTTGCAGCTTGTATCAAATCAAAATTTTGTTTTATGATCATATAATAAAATTTTGTGTCAGGACAATTATTAAATCAACCAAAAAAATTTGGTTAAATAATCTGGAGATTCTACGAACAACAACTTAGTCCAGACCTTGTAAGTTTTGCGTAGACTCCTCACTTTAAGGTCCCAAACACTGATGGCCTGGTCAATTCCACTGACGATATAGCGAGATGTTGAATTAAAATCCAAGAAACCTCTTCCAGTCTATTGAAGCATAAAGAAAGTCTTTAATAAGTACATGTATAAGTCAAAACCTTTATACAAGCAGAAAATAAATATATAAGCGAATAGATACACTACTTAAAAACAGATATATACAGGTTTGCTAGCCAAGTCTAACAAAACTGCAGGGGTCAAAAGTCAGAGAAGCAGAAAGTTTACTTTGTAGATGTAGGTCACAATGAGTATTGTAGACAAGAAACTTTTTACAACAAAAAAGTTCGAAAGAAAGACACATTAGTTTACAGTCATTTTGATAATTGTTTACCAATAAAGGTAGTACATGAGAAATGAAGTCATTATGATTTATCATCAAGAAACAAGCATATGCCTGGTAATACAACATAACAAGTAATGCAAGGGAGATGGTTGCATAGGTATTGCAGATAAAAATGTAAATATTATTTAAATAAAGCCCTTTTTCTGGTGTAACCTTGTTGTATATACTCACCACAAATTTTAAATCAAGTATTGATACGGATGAGTTTTTCACAGCAGTCAACGAGAGCTTGTCACTAGAATTTGACACACTGGATAAATAACTATCTGTAAACTTTTAAGGAGCACAAACTCATTTGTGTATTTACTTATATCTATTACACCGGACGGGTGGAGGCACAACATCCTGCAATCGATAAAATCCGGTAAATTCTTTCTAGAACTGCCATGGATACCTAAAGAATACAGAGTCCTCACTAAATGAATGTAATATCTATTGCAGTTATGTGTTTTGTGTGTTTGGTAAAACATACATGACCTATTTCACATTTACAAAATGTCCTTCAACTCAATTTCCACCATACTATTTATCACAAATTTACTGTCCAATAACTTAACAAAATAACATAAATTAATTCTTTGAATTAACTTGTGCAATGAAAATATACATCCCATTCATTCGTGTCTGCTTACCTAATTATATATTATAGACTTGTGAGCAATGAATCAATGCTAGAGTTTGAACTAAAAAAAATCCTGATTCTCATAGAATTTTTATGCCAATTATTTCTGTGTACTGACTTAATTTTATTTGGTGTATGATGACTAGCCCTGTAGCACCAGTAAAATATCTGCAGCTGAAGTAACATGTGTCCCTATCAATTTTGAAAAACATGCTAGATAGTTCCTCTCTGTTTTGTGTTGGTTGATAACTAGTAAGCCGGGACAGGATAATCGTATCAAATAAAAAATAAAAATCAATACATTAATTTTCAATATAAAACCAATATTGTCATATTTTCAAAAAGGATACTGTCATGACTCCAGCAAACTTTGGAAACGTTGTGATCGTGAGGATTGAACTGTTGTACCAGCGAAAAAGACGAATCGACATCCCATAGTTTGATATCGTCGCCGGCCGACGCCAGCTTCATCCCACTCATAATGTACGGAATCAATCGAACATTAAATATCAACAACCAAGATCTTATTGAAGTAAATCACGGCCATTTAAATGTCACAAGTGTATCAATAACATCGTGTTGTCAGCTGTCATAATACAAACGGTGTCAATATCAACATGTTGTAAAAACGTAAACAATGTCAACAGCAGGTTCTAAACGAGACTTGCGACAGTTGAAATTTCAAAGATTCACAACATGTAGTCTTAATGGCGCTTGTCATTCAACATTAACGCCGTTATTTCACATTGCAATGCAAAATTATCGATTGAATGTGCAATTTTGTTCACAAATTATCCCGCGCAACCTCCATTTTCTTGTCTGGGTGAAAATGAGGCTGATAAAGTCAGTTCATATCTTTCAGATTCACAAATTATTTACGAAACGAATACATATGAGTATTTTAAAGTTGATATGTAAATTACACAACAAAATGAAAAATGAATAATTTTCTTCACACCAGTAGAAACAATCGTCCTTAATGACCTTTGATGCAATCGCACCAGTTACTGTAGCAGGAAACAGATCAAGAATCTACCAGAGGAAACAACTTTTTACGCCTTTTCGGCGAATGCCCCGAAACCCCGGAAGTGCACTTGTAGCGATACTTGTACGTCAAAGGTCCCAGCTGGGCTATGACGGCGAGTACCTCTCTACTAACTACCAAACATGATAAATATATATATGTGAAAATAATCCATTGATGTATCTTCAGTTATGATAATTCAGTGTCGGTGGATACGTACATATAGATGGCCAATAGCTGTCTCTGATAAACATTGTATAGAGAATGCATGGGCCATTTCTTTAGTTAAAAAAAACGTATGTTGGAGATGGTGAAGAAAGACTAAATTAAAACTGTTTTCCGTCTCTGCCGAATACAGCAAAAATATGTGTGACCGCTCAGATAACGGCAGCACAGTTATAAGACTATTTAAGAAATTTTCTTACAATTTCATCTGACATGATAACTGATTTTTTATACCTAAGAAGAGACCGAGATAAGCGACTGATGTAGAGGAGTCTGTCGTGTTTTTGATTTCCACTTCTCGTGGGTGTATCAAAGATGGACATGGCCAATAAATTTCTTTTTATCTAAAGTGAAGACGTCATCAATATAACTAAAAGTGAAATTAAAAGCTTTGTAAGGTCTAGTGTGACCTGGTTTGATAATCTCTTCGATAAAAGATCGATTTTTTCCATATCACGTGATATCCAAAGTGATGTATCAACGCTAGAAAATAATGCCCTTAAGTGAGTTGTACCTATGGATGAAAAGTGGGTCCAGCATTTCACCCAAGAGGACAATCAGCAGTCTAAACTATGGAAGCACCGTTGGTTCACCCCGCCAAAGAGAGCAAAGACTGTTCCATCAGCTTGAAAGATCAATGACACATATTATGTTCCATTTCTTCAGCAGTTAAGAGAAAATTGAAATAAAAATATTAAATTAATGCGCCGTGGAAAGGGACAATGCCAGTGTTCCCAAGTCTGTCACTGCAGTGACTGCCATTAACGATTGCGAATTTAAATTGATTGAGCATCCGCCTTACTTGTCTGATCTCGCTCAAGCAGACTTTCACCCTTTTTTTTCGAAATTAATACATGGTGATTTCCGGCACCCACTTTCGGTCAGATGATGACGTCATATATGCAGAGAGAGGCTTTCTGAACTGCCATGAAAATGACTTCTTTAAAAGTGACATTTAGGCCCTAAAACATCACTGGCAAAAGTGTATATATACTAAAGTGGATTGTGTTGAAAAATAATGCAATATGTCCTCCAAAAGTCAAACCCATAAATATGAGGCTCACAACTTGCCAATCAGCCCTCGCATGTAAATCTTCTTCCCTTTTTCTGGTTTCAAGTCTTCCAAGACCTTATGTAACACTTCTCTGATGCCGTGTACTGGTGACATAAACTTAACATCCCTGCTGTATGTTAGCGCCGTGCATGTCATAAAGTGCGGCTAATTATGGGTCACGCCTTGCAGAACAGGTGTGGTTTCCGAGATGCCGTAGTTTAGGAGACCTTTGGGAGACCAGGAATACGATATGATGCATTCTACTGCATGAAGTGTGGCGTTTTCTTCAGTGTTTTTACTAGCGGGACATTAAAGAGACTAAAATAGATTCTCTGTCCTCAATGCAACACTAAAGCTTAGGATCTTGATGACACCAGTATGCTGGCTGTTGTTATCTTGTTTTCAGAAGTTTTCAAAAATGTGTATCAGAGTATCAGAATTTATTTACGCCATTGAAAACTTGATGGCGGATACAGACGACAAATACAGTGCAAGCACGGCGTCAGTGAGGTAACCTGACGAGAGACTCTGAAGGAGAAAGGTCTCTTTGAAGATTTGAAGATCACAAATTCCAATAATTTTCTAGGGTAACAATGAAGGCAACAGGTGTCATCAGTATTTTGACGTCCTACCCACCGCGATATGTATAGTATTGTTAGATGAAACTAGCCTAGTAGGAAGTTGAGCCCTAATATCATATATGTACAATGGAATGAAAGGTCGATTGGAATTCTGACCTGTTTTGTTCAAACTCGTACCAAATTTCCACCTATTGATTTTTACCATCGATCTCCTCGGACGTCTTTAAACCTTGTTGGTGAACTGCAGGTCCTGAAATGTACGTCATGTCCCCAACTGCCTGATTGTAAGAGGCGATTAAACTTGGGATCTAGTTTTCCTTCTGTTCCTTCTTCCTTACATCTCTCGTGACACTTCCTGAATAATTGGGCTTTAGTTGAACCAGGGACGTATTATATGTCCCTGGTTGAACGTTCGCCCATATAAGGAAGGATTTCCACAAACATCGTGTATTTATAAAATGATAAACAAATATCCTTACATATCATATTATTGCATTTCCAAACTATGGTATTCACATGCTGCAGTTGATTCAATATTAAAAGACCTGTTCTCATTATCATGATTTTCGTGCAAGAAGTCGTCAAATTATAGAGAAAAAACAATGCCAACATGACAACATAATTATAATACAAACTCAAATTCTATAAAACTAGGGGAAAATATGAACAAAAGAAAGATTTATACGGAGATCCCTGAAAAAGAACAAGGAGAGCAAGACAAGGTATTCCGGAAGAGTAAGCGTCTTCTGCTTCATCGACTACAACCGACATGTAAACCTTGATCAACTCGTGTTCTCAAACGAAAACAATGTATATAAAACAACGGAACCAATAGGCAAACCAACGAGCATTAAACACGTCCAGTTTCATATCGCACAAAGAAATACAATTGTTCTCAATGAGATCACTATGACGGCCATAAAAGTTTTCCTAATATTTTCATCAGCCTGCATCTTTTGAAACCCTGTGTTACGAGTTTGACCGTCAGTTGACGACTTCTTGTACGAAAATCGTAAATATGTGAACGGGCCATGTAAACACCATGGGTTGAGGATGAAGGAAAGTTGATATCAAGGAATGGAAAATTCACAATAGGGAAATTGAGATCATCGCGTTTATCATACAGCTTCGTGTAAATCTGTTGGTTTCGTGAAAGAAAAGATCGAGATAAGCGACTAATGAAAAGAGTCTGTAGTGTCCTTGATTTCCCATTCTGGTGGGTATATTGGATGAACGCATTCAGTAAATTTCTTGTTATTCATAGAAAAGAGTTATCAATATAACTGAAAGTGAATGGCCTGTTTGGTCAATATCTCATTTCAGTAAACTATTAGTTTAAGCCCGTTTTCATTACTTTAATTGCTCCATTTAATGGAATGGAATTTTACCAGTTATAACTGAATAGTTTTTTAAATCAAAACGATTCAAATGATATTCAACAAGTTATTAATGAGCAGAAAACACCAAGTTATACACTCTCAAAGGATCTGTATTTTCTCATTTGTGTAGGTAACAATCAGGCAGAAAAAACATTTATTTATTGTTAAGTGATTTTTCTCGAATCAATCACCAACTACAACAACAAAATGAAATATTAAGTAATACAGTGTGAGCTGATAGATAAGAAAACAATATCTCTATAACTAGATATGCACGTGACAATTTGGTGATCACGTGCTTTACACGTAAGAAATTAGAGACTTTGTCTTATCAATTGTCTGAATAGTAGTTACCTGCAGTCTAATTCTCATGAACCACTAATATAGAATTTTACAATAGACACACGTGTATGCGATTAAAAGCTTTCGACACAAAACTAGAACTAGGTACAGTAGGGTCATATACTGATTTAACTGGACTATTAAAAAATGAACCCTGAGCATTACTAGTGCACTAGATTAGTCTTCTCCTAACTACACTATAGTTACGGGATCCCTTTGGCTATTATTTCCTCCTTCTGTGCATGTGCAATACACAAATCCCAGCATTTTTATTGTACACTGCCTCATATCTTTCGATAGTTAGTAAATGCTTTGTAATAATGGAAACTAATCGAACTGGATTAATAAATGAGAAATACAATTTTGCTTGAAACGTCGACACGGGTTGCTATTTCGTTTCGTTTCAATAGAGATCCGTATTTTGTAACGACCATCCATTATGAACAACAAACATGGAGGGTGACGGCGGGCCACATGCGTTGTACGTTGCAATGCAGCCGTTGTAAGTGTGTTTCTGTTGTCTGTTAACGCATAGATGGCAACCCTGATGTGCATTGCTAATCATTTAATACCGCTACATTCACTAAGCCTTTGATCAAGATGGTACCATTAAGGAAATGATATAGCAAACTTCACTTTTTTGCCCTGACCTTAGACAGATGACTGCAGAATGAGCCACATGCATACGATTTGCTGCCAGTGAATCTAAATATACCGAATGACGTGATTGGCTATCGTTGTAGGAAGATGAAAATGCTATCTGTTAGCTAGATTTTGTATTTAATGGCACTCAAGCATTAATAAAATGCGTATTAACGGCAGAAACAATATGTCTTATGTGTGCAGCCAGTCTTGTATACACTGGGTCAGTATATATGTACGTAACTGATTGTTAACTGCAAACAGAGTTGCCTCAGACATGTTGTTACCGTCGAATCGTCACAGATGACTTCTTCCATAGGAAGTATTTGTCGACTACATGGTACAAAATGAATGTCTAGTGTGTTTGTTGACTTTTGCAATGATATCCCAATATATATATATGTCCACTTTGTACTACACTCATTTTCATCATCACTAGAATACTGACCATATGTGATGTGATTGATTTTGATATTGTTGACTAGAGCAGACTACAGTTAGGCCAGCGTTTGATCACTATCTACATGCATGTATATATATGTATGGATACGTGTATGTGTGCACTGTGGATGGATGTCTGGTGAATTAAACGAATGTGAACAATCAGGAAATAAAATGTGATTTACAAATGTAGGGAGGCAAAAAAAGGAAACATTGTATACATCCTGTTCAGTCTGGTACTGATAAATTTTAAGAATAGATTCATGCACACTACATAAACATTCAATAACACCTTAAAACTCATGATTTAGATTACTGGTATCCAAAAACATCAAATTTGGAGGTCAAAATCATGCATTTTCTCCATTTCGTATGAAAACAATCACGAAAAAATTAGTAAGTTGCTTTGCTGTTTTAATCTATCTCTGCATCATTGTTTCTTATTGATAAGCAATCAGTTTCATATCTGATATTGTTACCTTACATATGAGAAAAAATTTATAGAAAAAAATCAGGTGACAATCTAATTCATCTCGTGGTTATGAAACTTTTTGATGATTAAATCATGGATTTATCACACATACATTTTCAAATGTAATTAAAACACTATAAATATATCTTAAAATGTGTTAGATTCTGTTACATTTAAATTACTCAACATTTTGTGATATTTATTGGTGTAAATTTGAGTTGAAAATCACCAAAATTTGTCAGAAAACTTTAATATTTAGATAGGTTCTGTTGATAAAAATTGTTCCATGCAGTTTTTGGGAAAGATAATGACCTATTACTGTACTTGTTTTAAAAAAACTTACAAGAGATGGCTAGTGCTTCTACTGACAAACATTCCCCACTCATGATATGTATATCATCTTCATAGTGGAACCAAGTATTATTTCTCGTGTTTTATAATGATACAAATATGATATGAATATCCATGTTCTGGTGACATGCATACATTATTTCTGACCTGAAGTCAGTGGTAGGTTTTTTGGTAGAGTGTTTGACTGCGTACATGTAATCTCAGTCAAAGGGCTGAGTTGCATGGTTTTACACCCCTGCACTTGCCAGTTGGTGTTGTTAAGGAAGCTGAGTAATGGACCAGTCAATGCTGACATGGTTGTGTCCCTTAGCAAGACACTTTATCCTTAATGCCCTGGATGGAAAATTACTGGTGTTGCATATGTGCGGTAGTTACCAGCTACTACAAGAAGACCCATTGTCAAAATGACCTCAGTTGTTCACATGGCAATAAACCAAGCAAAACACAATTCATTGCAAGGAGGAAAGGGTCATTGATAAGCACTTCTGAACATGTCGCTATAAATATGTGCAATGATGAAGGATTATTTTCTTTACAGCGTGCTGCCGACAATCATCCATGACCCTGATGCCCAAGATGATGATGAAGAAGAGGCTGGATTATCAGATGATGATGCTGTTAGAGTGGAGGAGGGCCAGGAAGAAGAAGGCTTTGACTATGCAGACCCCAATTTTGAAGACTCTGCTGCTTACAGGTGAGTTGTAGAGGAACAGGTGATTTGTTTATACCTCTAAAGTAAGATGATTAGGTTGTATCACTCAGGTACATTGTATTAAATATATAAAGAAGATGTGACATAAAGCATGGAATCTGATGCACAGTGTATAGTAGAAGATGATCTCCCAAAAATCCACATATATAAACACTACTGAAATAAATTTTTTAATGCGAAAACAATTTGGAATAACTTGACTTTGTCATAAGAAGCTAATATTGAGATGATGTCTGGCTGTGTCGATGATATGATATAAAATAGCAGCTGTTGACACTACCTTGGGAAAGGAAATCTACTGAAACTATAGCCCAGTAAGATGTTTCCTACTGAACCATAGCTCAGTCAAACCAAATTTACTAAAACTAAAGCGTGGTCAAACAGAAGTTACTAGCATAGCCTGTTGTTACCAAACTACTAAAACTAGAAACTGGTGAAACAAATCTACTTAAGCTGGAGCCTGGTAAGACCAAACCTACTTTTGAGACAGATCCCAGCGAAATGCAACTACTAAAACTAGAGCCTGAAAGCTTTTGAAAGAACATTGAATAATTTTGTAGAATTATTTACTCTGACAGATACGATGATGATCACAACAAACCTGTTGATCTGGATAACTCAGACGAGGCTCTGCTTGGTGAAAATGTGGGGTACATGGACGACATGCCCGCTGCAGATCTGGAACAACAGAATATTTACACAGATGACCATGCTTATGCTGATGTGGACGATGCAAGGGAGTCGACAACCAGTGATGTTGTGTTTATACAACCGCCTCCTGTTCAGATCAGGTAAACATCTATACAACCTACTCCTGTTCAGATCAGGTAAACGTCTATACAACCTCCTCTTGTTTAGATCAGGTAAACGTCTATACAACCTCCTCCTGTTTAGATCAGGTAAACGTCTATACAACCTCCTCCTGTTTAGATCAGTTAAACGTCTATACAACCTCCTCCTGTTTAGATCAGTTAAACATCTATACAACCGCCTCCTGTTCAGATCAGGTAAACGTCTATACAACCGCCTCCTGTTTAGATCAGGTAAACGTCTATACAACCTCCTCCTGTTTAGATCAGTTAAACATCTATACAACCGCCTCCTGTTCAGATCAGGTAAACGTCTATACAACCTCCTCCTGTTTAGATCAGGTAAACGTCTATACAACCTCCTCCTGTTTAGATCAGTTAAACGTCTATACAACCTCCTCCTGTTTAGATCAGTTAAACATCTATACAACCGCCTCCTGTTCAGATCAGGTAAACGTCTATACAACCTCCTCCTGTTTAGATCAGGTAAACGTCTATACAACCTCCTCCTGTTTAGATCAGTTAAACGTCTATACAACCGCCTCGTGTTTAGATCAGGTAAACATCTATACAACCTCCTCCTGTTTAGATCAGTTAAACGTCTATACAACCGCCTCCTGTTCAGATCAGGTAAACGTCTATACAACCTTCTCCTGTTTAGATCAGGTAAACGTCTATACAACCTCCTCCTGTTTAGATCAGGTAGACGTTTATACAACCTCCTCCTGTTTAGATCAGTTAAACGTCTGTACAACCTCCTCCTGTTTAGATCAGTTAAACGTCTTAATACAGATCAGAACAACTTTATGGTACAGATCAGTTAAACTCTGATCAACCTTTTAGATTTAATGAAGTCAAGCTACAGAAAACAATTGTGTTTACATACACCACTATTGAAAGTAAACAGGGAGGGTGAGCAAAGATCTGAGATGCTACAAAGCAATACAGTGAAACGATAGAACTACTAAATACTAACTTCTAATGCAAATGAAATTTGGATTTTACAGTATCTAAATCAAGGTTTTGAAGGTTTAAGTACAACTTTGTGTTACTAAATCTGACTAGATGGTACTAATTTCAGAACTGTACCTGATCATTACAACTCAAATATAAAAGATGCTATTATGAATATCAGGGATATTTATCAATACCTTTTGTTTTGTTGACTTTTCAACATTTAAATGGTGATTTTGATGGTGCTCTAATCCCGTTTGGATTGATCACATAGTATTATTGATCGACATTGCCACCTTATCATACACGATACATGTAATCTAGATAAAGGATTTACTGAAGGAGTTTAAATATTCAAGTGTGTACAACACCAATATGGTAACAACTATCAGGGTTTTCACTAGATATTTTGTAAATGAAGGCCTCTTCAGAATAAATAGGGTTCTTCTGTATAGTTTGAATAGAAATTCTGAAAATAACTGGAGCCTGTTTTATTTTCTTAGCCTCAAAAAGACTACTGGGAGGACAAAATCATTCTCTCTGAATTATTAAGATATGTGAGTTTTTCCTAAATGTTAATCTGTGATTCACTGATTAATTTATTTCCTGGTTCAATAGAGGAGACCACACATATGACATATCACCCATGCTGCATGATAAGAACTTGCCAGAGGGATGGAGTCGACGCGTGGTTCAGCGACTAAATGGCAAATCAGCTGGGAAATATGATGTGTATATATACAGGTATGTACTGATCTGTAAAAACTTTGCCACAATATTTGTCAAAGGGTTATTTTCAAGATTATGAGGAGCAAGTTTTTCCTTGTGGATTGGGCATGGGTCTTATATACCAGTACAGCTTACATGTTGACAAACAAAAATTGTGAGAAATAAAAATCTGTTTTTTTATTCAACATACCAGGTACTCACTATAAACTTTAAGTTTGAATCACTCTTCAGAAATGTTTTTATTGAAGATTTGAAGCATACTGAACAGCATTACTAGCACTAAGTATTTTTACAAGTACCTGCCCACCACATGTTTGTGACTGAAACAGATCGTGTAGAACCGTCACTTGTAATCGTAAACAGGATGATTTATTCCCAATAATATCTTCCTTGACTTTTTGTGGTTACTTCAAAGCACTTGAAAGAAGGCATGGTGGAGGTTTACTGTAGAGTATTGCAACCATGAATTGTTAGGTCATCTGGTGATGTGTTTAAATTATAGAATTGCTCTCGGACACTGGTTGACAGTCTTTTCATGTCAAGTTAAAATTTAATTTTGAAACTGTGTTTATTTTCATTAGCAAATTGTATTTGTATCTATAGGTAAAAGAATAGCTGTGTGGCCTTTTATGTTTATGTAAAAGTATATTAATGTCTTGTCTTGTTTTCAGTCCTTCTGGAAAAAAGATGAGATCTAAAACGGAGCTGGCTACATTTGTGCAGGAGAAACAGCTTGACCTGGATGTGGAAGCCTTTGATTTTACAGTAAGAGGTAAACATCACAGCACGAATCAAGGAAGTGTTACCAGGAAGGGTCAGAAAAAATCCAAGACAGAGAAACGTGAGAAACAAACTGTTACATCTCCTAGTGCTAGATCTCCTGTGAAAACCAAATTGACTCCAAAGTCAACAACAAAAACATTAAAAGCATTATCAAAAACAACAAGTAAAGGTGGTAAAATGAAAGCTTTGAAACAGGATAAATCACCGAAATCTGAGAAACTCGAAGTCAAAGAGACAGCTAAAGGAAAAGTGAAAGGTTCTACAAAACTCAGTCGGAAAAGGTCAAGATCACTGTCTAAGAAAGATTCACCAAAGGAAGAGACAAAGTTTGAGCAAATTAAAACTTCACCGCAGTCTGGTAAGCGTAAAAACATTTCACCCAAGAAAACGCTTGCACAGAAACTTGTGATTAAAATGGCATTTGGTCCTGGTGTGAAACGGAAAGGTGATGCTGAAGATGAAGGTCCTGTAAAGAAAAAGAAAAAGAAAGTGAAAGGAAGAGGTCGTGGTCCAAAAACAAAATCGTTGGATGATAATGAAGAGGATTCTGTGGTGGATGATAAAGTGAAATTATCCTTTAGTGATCAAGAAGAAGTAAACAAATTTGATACTTTTAATGAAAAATTAGACTCTCCAACAATGGATGATGAGTATAATGATTTGTTTCCTGATGAAAACATGAACTCACAACAATCTCCAGTGTTAAATCCTCACGCCTTAGTGCAGTCAAGCATTACTCATTCATTGTCTGATGATCTAAAGAAAAGAGAACTGGGGAAGAAAGATGTTAAGAAGCGGAAATCCCATGGTGATAATATTTTTGACTTATTTCAAAATGTTGGTGTGGACAGTAATAATGTGTGTGATAGCAGTGCTGATGAAACTGAACCAGTCCCAGTAATATCTGAACCAGACAAGGTTGAATCTGCCAAGGTGGAATCAGATCGGCGACCTTCACGACAAAGAATCCGCAGCAAGCGATATAGTTCTGATATATATAGTGTTGATGAACCAAAAGTTCAACGGAACACATCAAGAAGACAGTCTGCTACTATGTCTCCCTCTGTATCAAAGACTCCCAAAGTCAGTTCTGATTTGGAAGGTACAGCTGTGTTGGGGGGCCCGGTCATTAATGTTGAAGCCAACAGTGTCCAGCTACCTGGTGGTATTGCCCTCAGTGATAGTATGGTCAGTGGTGCTACAGCCCCTGGTTTGGTCAGTGCTGATATGGTCAGTGGGGCAATGGTCAGTGGTGGGATGATGGCTGGGGAGCTAGTGAGTGGTGTTTATGTTATGGCAAGTGTTGTTGCCGCTAATCCTGAAGGGATTGATATGTCTCAAGTAGTGACACCTGCTTATACGTACTGTCTGGGAAGTCCTGAAGGAACAAACTTATATACAACAGCAGATCAAGTGGATGCTAACCCTGTGGTTTCTGAAAGTGATACCATTCATGGAATAATAGATTCTAAAAGCAATGAAACGCAATATGACAGCACAGTTGACCCTCATGACACAGATACAAATCCGGACACATCGGATAAAATTTCTGCTAAAATTGAAGAGAAATGTTTGTCTCCATCAAAGTCATCTATCAAATCACCTGTTAAGAGTTCACCTATTAAATTTTCACCTGTAAAGACCTCACCTCTTAAGATTCCTTCTGCACAAAGTACACCTGTAAAAAACTCTTCAAAAACTGAAAACAAATCTAGTGTCTCATCGGGAGAAACAAAAGCAAAGTTCAGTGCTTCTCCTGTGGAGAATTTAGACAATTTATTTACATTTATTAAGAATGTTCCAGTATCACCACGGCAACAAAGAAGAGCCAGTATTGAGGAAGGTCCGAGATTTTCACCACATCTGTCAAGTCCTGAAAGGTCAAGGTCAAGGAGTGTGTCTATATCGGCTGCATCTACTCAGCTTGCCAGTGATGAAATCAGTCATGTGGAAGGTAACTCTAGCTATTCAAATGAAAGATTATAATTTTTTTTCATAGCATTCTAGCAAAATATCAAACTTTCAAAAATGTCACTTGAAGTGTTGAAGAGACTGCTGTTATTTACCAAGGGATTCAAAATAAATGTTGATCAATTTTTATACACCATTTTAACAGGACTTATTGTGGTTTGACATTGTCCATCTTACTAAAATTTCATTAATCTGCAGATCTCCTTCCACAATTTTTAGCCCACCATCATTAGATGGTCTGGCTCAAATTTCATATGTAGGTTCCCCTTGATCTCTAATTGTGTCCATCTAATTTTGGGACTGATCAGAAAAAAAAAATCACAGATGGCCATCTTTGATTTTCACTTTGAAAGTTTGTTATCACTATTTCTAGAGAATTAATCTTTCTTAAAATTTCAAATATAGGGGTCCCTTTGTCCCAGGTTGCTCCTGTTTGAGTTTGGGTCAGATCAGAAAAACCAGGTGGCCATCTTGGATTTTGATTTAAAAAGTTTGTTATTTCTTGAGAACTACAGCATAGATTTTTCTAAAATTCCATGTGTTTGTTTCCTTTCCCATGATCCCTTGTCGTGCCTGTTTGATTTTGGAACTGGTCAGTAAAAGAAAATGGCCAACAGGCAGCCATCTTGGATTTTGATTTTGAAAGTTTGTTATCACTGCTTCTTGAGAAATACTGCATAGATATTTCTCAAATTTCATGTATTGGTTCTTCTTTGTCCCTAGATCTGTCTGTTTGAGTTTGAGACTGATCAGAAAAACAAAATGGCCAACTGGCTGCCATCTTGGATTTTTACAGATCAATATTATTATCGCTATTTCTGCAAGGAATGTTCAAATTTGTTATCATTAAGAGCAAAAACATTGAAGACAAGAGAGAAAAAAAAGGAAAAGATCCAACATCAAAGAACAAATAAAGATCAAACAATGGTGGGTGCCAAGTTCTCTATTGGATCTCTTATCAAACTTGGTAGGCGTAAACACCATGAAGTGAGGTTTTATTTTTTAGTGAGAGGCGATTTGATTCAATAACATTTGGGAGGGTAACAGCCTTTTTGTTTTCATATTTCTCATATTGTCCCGAGATCTCTAACTTCAATTTTAAACCAATCTTTCTCAAGCTTGTTTGATTTAAACACCATTACATGAAGTTGTGTTTTCCTGAATGGCAGTGTGTTTTAGTTGTATTTGGAAGAGTTACTGCCCTTCGTTGTTTTCATGATGAAAACCTTATTTATAATAGATCTCTTCCTTCACTTTTCAACTAAATCACCATGACATAAAGTTTTGTTTTTGTAAATGACAGTTTGATATGACTTCATTTTGAATTGAAGAGTTTTCAGTGAATTTCTTCGAAACTTGCTTTTCCTTTTATTATCTTATCTCATAATTACGATTTCTTTTTGATGCAATGAATCAGAAAAAATTCTTTGGAATGGGACAGACATGTATCTGTTCTGCCCTGTGATACTCTTGTTCACTATTTTTAAGGATAGATTAAAACTGTTACAAAAAATAAGTTCCTTGCAATTCCAATATACGACTATAAAAAATGTTTGTTCTGTCTTTTCTGCTCAAACTTTTGCTTAACAATTGAAAATTGAAACTTATTTTTCCTGTTATTATGGAACTCTTGTCATGATTTTGTATAGATAAGTTAACAATGGCGGTACCATGTGGTTATGTAGAATATCTTGTACAAGTTCTCATATCTCACAAAATTTTAAAAGACCACATTAAAATCCTAGAATGTTTCATTTTAGTGACAAAGTCAGAAGATTCAAATTCCGGTCTTTAGACATCAATTTATAGGTAATTGAATAAAACATTTGAATGTTGATATTTGTTATCTAGACATCCCGTCAGATTCTGAGGATGCTGACTATACACCAACACATCGTCTGTCAGCGGAGGTAGAGAGTAAGTACTTTGTCCATGGAAAATTCCTTCCTCGTCCGGAACTCCACAGAGATACGACGTGGGTACCTCCTAAGTCTCCCTTCTGTCTGATACAGGAAAGTCTGTACCATGACCCCTGGAAACTCCTTATTGGGACCATTTTCCTAAACAGGACCACAGGTGAGATACCAGTATGCACCAAATGGCTTGAAGGTTAAAAGATGAAATTCAAAGATTTTTCTTTTTTTTTTTTTTAATTTTTTTTTTGGAAATCGTGTTGAAATATTCCTATACTTGGAGAACAATGTAGAATTAATTTCGATAAACAATATGGATAACTCTAGCTGTTACTGTAATGTAAAGATAAATCTTGTCGGTGACTCATTGATTTAAGTTTAGTGATGAAGTAATAACATTGATGTCTCATTTTCTTATATTCCTGGGTATTGTTTTGAATGTTGAGGAGTATTTCTGATATTTTTGAGTTACTTTTTTAGGCAAGGCAGCTATTCCTCTTCTGTGGAAGTTTTTCAACAAATGGCCAAATCCAGATGCGACAAGGAAAGCAGATGCTGCTGCCATTGCTAAGCTTCTTACTCCTCTTGGGCTTCATGAAAAACGAGCAAAAATCATCATTCGGTTTTCTGGTAAATATTAATCAACAAGATATTTGTTTTTTTATTATTTTGTATGTATCATTCTACATATTTTTCACAGATACCCCTAGAAACATGAACAGCTGTATGACCCTTTTCAAAATTTAACCCTTTCAGTGCCAAATATCTCTCACAATGTACAGCTCAGCGCCAAATATCTCTCACAATGTACAGCTCAGCGCAAAATATCTCTCACAATGTACAGCTCAGCACCAAATATTTTCCAGAAAATATCCGAAAACAATGGCAGCATTGCTGAAACAAGCATATCTTGGCTAATAATTAAGATATAGAAATTGTCGACCAAAGTCGCCTACGGCGGCCTGTCTGCATGTCGACTTCAGTCGCCTACAGCAGCCTGTCTGCATGTCGCCTACGACGGCCTGTCTGCATGTTGACTTTAGTCGCCTACGACGGCCTGTGTGCATGTCGACTTTAGTCGCCTACGGCGCCAAGAGGGTTAAGCAAATGTTTAAATATTTAGTTTGTGCTTTCAGTTTGTTGTTTTTAACCATTCTTATGAAGAGAGGTCAAATACAGACATTACAAACAGGCCCCCTTTGGCTTTACATGAGTGTTAATTTTAACAAGTGAGGAAACAAATTCTTGAAATTTTTATCAATGTCATTCTTACTGTATCACTGTATGGTGTATGGGTTCACCTTAGTGAGGTGGTGTATGTGTCAGTGGAGGACTGTAATTCAACCTGTTGTCTTATTATATGTGATTTTTGTATGTAAATATATTTTTTTTATCATTTTAGCCAGAATCACCTAATTTTATAAGGAAAGATTAAAATCTGACCGTACAAAAATCAAATTCTTAATTTTGACAATTGAAATGTCAAGTTTTGTACTGAGAAGTGAAGCAGGGACACCAGAAATGTTATAGTACTGTAATCTGTCACTTGATGTCTTTATAGATGAGTACCTTACAAAAGAGTGGACCTACCCAGAAGAACTGCATGGAATTGGGAAATATGGAAATGATTCTTATCGCATGTTTTGTGTTAATGAATGGAAAAAGGTAAGAGAATTATGACAACATATTATTATTAATGAAAGATATAAGAAATTGGACCATCGTGATGGCAGAACACAAGTGAATGAAAAATTAGTGGTCCTATTGAAAAACCAACTGATGTTATCAATTTGAAGTTCAGAAGGTGGCCATGAAAAAGCCATGTGACAAATCTGCATTTGACATTAACATAAAATTGACAGGTGTCGCAGACATATTTACTAGTAAAGTATCATGTCGCATGTGCTGTGTCCCTTTCTTTGTATAGTCAAAACGGACCTGTTTCAGAATTGTCTAAAGGATTTTCTAATTGTAAACAAACGCATGTTTACAAGGAGTGAATATCACTTTCTTCTATATCGATACCAACACACCCTATGTTATTTAGTATTTCTGCAACAACAAATTCTTTTTACTATATATAAATAGATGTTTTTCTTTTCAATTTCTGTAGCAAAATTTGCATATACTGGGACTTCATGAAAATTTGTTGTCAATGATGAAAAAGTTGCCAATAATTCAGGTTGTAGTTGTCTTTAATATGTATACATGATGTTCTGTACTGCAGGTTCAACCCAAGGATCACAAGTTGAATGACTACCACAACTGGCTTTGGGCCAACCATAAGCAGCTAGGAATTGATTGAAGAGGCTTGCCTGGATTGGGAGCTTATATTGGAACCTTTAACTTCTATAGATCAGAGGCCATGATTCAGACCACTCTTTATCATTTAAACTTTAAAATGGCAGTTTTACTTTGTTCACTATGTTTGCTCTTTTGTGATTAACAAATTCACTGATTGAATTGACTACCTGGAAATTATGTGAATATAGAAAACACTGTTCTGAATTTGCAATGTCTGTATTATGTAATTGAGATTTCATTGTGTTAAAAATGTTGTATTTTATATACAAGAAGAGGTTGATATCCTGAAGAACTTAGGAAAACTTGCTGCAAATCTCTACAGCACTGAAGTCTCTTGACATATCAATAAACTTTGTACAGGACTGCCATTCTAATTGCATCAACTTGGCACAGCATGGAATGTTTGAACCTGTCAACTAGGTACAGCACTACAGGTGTCAACCTGTCAACTTGGTACAGCACTGCAGGTGTCAACCTGTCGACTCTGTACAGCACTACAGATGTCAACTGATCAACTCTGTGCAGCACTACAGATGTCAACCATCAACTTTGTATAGAAATGCAAGTGTCATCAGTGAACTCTGTACAGCAATGTTAGTGTCAATTATCAACTTAATTTAGCCCTGCAAGTGTCAACTATCAACTCTGTATAGAAATGCAAATGTCGTCTGTGCACTCTGTACAGCAATGAAAGTGTCTACTGTCAACTTAATATAGCACTGCAAGTGTCAACCTGTCAACTCTGTACAGCAATGCATGTCTGCACCAAGTGTTTACCAATAATGTATAGTATTGTAAATATCATATGATTGGAGATTCTCACACAGAACCTACTGGACTGAGTTATCAGCGACACTTGTGTTCTTTGTAAGTGCCCTAGAAAGTTTGTCTTCAATCTAAATCAGTATTAGTGACGACTGTTAAGTGACTGGAATCTGACATTTCCAAATATATTGAATGTGTTCTAGTTCTTGTAAATAGTAATCCTGTTTATGTAATCTCTGTAGACTGTCCCACAGATCCTGTTTAGTGATAAGTCGCCGTATGGAAACAAAGAATAGAATTTAGTATGCCTTTGTAAAGAAAAGCATGTGAAAATTTGTTATTAGAATTTGTAACATATCCAATTCATTAAAAGTAATTATAGTCAGTGTTAGCTCCTGAGATTCGTCAATGAGCTATACCATCAGACTGTTGTTTAAATGTCTTTTAAATGTGTGATAACCCGCCAATTACACTGTAAGTGATGTTAATATATCCCAGCAGAAGTCTTTCACGTAGAATTTTAAGGTCCTTAAGCTAGTACTGCATCAGAGGATGATCTTTGCATTATCATGACAACTAAAGAAGGCATTGTGCATATTAAGCATTTCTTGATGTTAAAAATATTTAACTGCAATTCAACTTTTCTGTTTAAAAAAAGTTGCATTAACTTTCGATCCAGAAGTTTTACAAGACACAGATTTCTTGTAATAAGAAAACTCCTGATATAAAGGATGTACTTTAAAAGTTAAATTCCAGTTGCATTGTTTTAAGAAAATATAAACAAATGCTGTTTGATGCTGGTTACAGTATTACATGTTTTCAATGTTATAAATCTTGTGTTTTCAAATAGTCTAAGGGAGACAACTTTTCTAATCATGAGGTATTTTTTTAAATTTTCATTGAAATTTCATATGAGGATTGAATTTAAGCAGGATGTATTATGGCAGGTTATGTTTTTCTTGAAAACTTAAAGGAGTGATATCTATTGTTGTTGCTACAATGTTAAATGTTATTTAATGTTATTTATATATTACAAATAATTTAATGACAAGTTTTAACTCTATCCTTGAATGTGAAATTTAATCATCCAGTTTGGTGCATTTTTCCCTTTTTTTTTATAATTTGAATTTTAGTATGATGTATAGTAGGATGTACCACTTTCATTGATACAAACATTACAGTCAATTAACTCATTTTGGTATAAAAATACTAAAGTTCTGATAAATATCACAATTTAGATGTCAGTGTCCGTCCATATTTGAAGCGTGTAATTTATCAATTTTCAAAAATATTCACCTTCTTTATTTCATACGCTAATGCATGTATCAGTAATCAATATTGAAAAATGAAATTAACATTATGGCATGAAGTCTTTCTTTATCTAATGGTGGATATCAGTTTAAATTTTTGTTTATTTTTTTCTGTCTTTTATTTAAATGTTTCATAGCTTTTAAATCTCAAATTTCAAAATTTTATGTTTTAAAAAAGACAAAATTTATTATCAACTAGAACTTTGAACTAAATTTATTTAACTGCAAGTTTGAAATAAGGTATATATCAGCTGATATTTCTGTTGGTGTTGACCAGGATGGAAGCTTCTTCTTAGGGGCACTGAAAAACATGTGGTCAGTCAGGTGATCTTTTAGCATCTCTGATAGTGAAGGAAATGTAAGTGAAAGGTGATAGCATTACCACTGTGTTGTTCTGTCTTTCACAGTTGCAGATTTTCATTTCTGAAAATATATATTTATACAAGCCGTATCTCTTTCACATTAATCACTGAATTTACTAAATCTTCACTTAAATTAATGTTACAGCATGCACTAGCATACATCTATAACAGTGTCTGGTATTGTGTCTATTTAGCTTGTTAAATTTTCTCTGTATGTGCTTTTAGCACAGTTTATGAAATAATAAATGCTGCTTTTCTTTATAATGTATATATCCTGCTAAGGATGTTTATACAGAAAGTAAACATGTGATACTCAAACGTAGTTATCAGTAAAGTTTGATTTGGAGGCGTGTATTTCTCACAGGCTTGTTTTAGAGATTGTTCATTTCTCATAGAAATTGTATCGAAGGAGTATTTATTTATTCTCTACAACTGTGTATGTCCAATGTCTACTATAATTAGGTCACCTTTATGGCATTCATGCTCTCATATTTGACATCCTGGCATCCGTCATTCTGCAAGCTTACTATTTAAATAACTCCTATAAAGACTATTTTTTTCTGACTGAATGTTGTATAGAATGTTTCTTGGCTAGAAGATTCATAATTGTTAAAGTTCATCTGTGACTCCTCTATAGACAGATAGGTGTAGAGAACTAAGGCAATGCTTTGGAAGGCCTCTCATTCAGAACCTTATTTATTGAATAGGATTCCTTGGTGCAGTAAATTATCAGTAGAAATTGTCTTGTCAGCAAACAGAAAGTCTCTTAGTAAGGGTCAATATTGTTACAGTTACAGTATCATTATGTTAATTGTTGTATTTATTTTATTCCTTCGATATGCTTTATGTCTGACATATGGTAGAGTTTAGAGCTTCTCAGATGTTTTTGAACCTTTGCAGTATATTAAAGATATGTAAAAAATCATATGCTAGTCATATTTTACTGTGTAAGGTGTTGATAATTTGTTAATGTTTTCATTTGCTGTGCTTCAAAACTCTGAAGTGTTTTTACTGAGTTAATGTGCTATTTTTACAGTGATCTGTTTAACCACAGGGGCTGGATATAAATAATTATCAAATTGCAATTGTATCAACAGAATTATGTTTCTATAATCTATTTTTAGGATTTGTCTGATTATTGTGTTATATTAGGATCAGATTCACAGATATTTCTTGTCTTGCCACTCTGTTATAGATCAGCTGTGATTATATATATTTACACTTATATGGTGTCTGGTCCCTGTGTATCTGAAGTTAGAAAGATCAGTGTTGAAAATAGTCACATCTGTTATTTGTGTGTGCCCAACACATCTTCATAAAAGGTTGGATGAGTAACTTCATTAATTCACAAGCAAAGAAGTAAAAAGTTAGGAAGCTAAGTGTAGCTTTCTTTGGTAAGCTTCGTGAAGAAATTCATATATTGTAAATCATTAATCATTAATTCTTGTTTCCAATTTCCACTTAACCGTTGTACATAGCTATCATCACTGTAAATAGCATGAAGTGTACATAGCTAGTTAGATGTCCTGTTTCTCATTTATATGCCTACTTTTAACCCATATTTGTTATCCATAAAGTTGCTGTTTTTATCGCTAATCAACTTTATAAGTGTTATATGATATAGATGTAGTACTGTCTTGTAAGGAAATAAAACAAAACCTGCAAATACATAACTGGATTTATTTATCTTTTGATTGTGAAGAGGGTGTGTTTGTCTATACAGTGATTGGGGAGAGGATGTGTCTGTCTATACACTGATTGGGAAGAGGATGTGTCTGTCTATACACTGATTGGGAAGAGGGTGTGTCTGTCTATACACTGATTGGGAAGAGGGTGTGTCTGTCTATACACTGATTGGGAAAATGATATGTCTGTCTATACACTGATTGGGAAGAGGGTGTGTTTGTCTATACACTGATTGGGAAGAGGATGTGTCTGTCTATACACTGATTGGGAAGAGGGTGTGTCTGTCTATACACTGATTGGGAAGAGGGTGTGTCTGTCTATACACTGATTGGGAAAATGATATGTCTGTCTATACACTGATTGGGAAGAGGGTGTGTTTGTCTATACACTGATTGGGAAGAGGATGTGTCTGTCTATACACTGATTGGGGAGAGGGTGTGTCTGTCTATACAGTGATTGGGAAGAGTGTGTGTCTGTCTATACAGTGATTGGGAAGAGGGTGTGTTTGTCTATACACTGATAGGGAAGAGGATGTGTCTATACAATGATTGGGAAGAGGGTGTTTGTACACTGATTGGGAAGAGGATGTGTCTGTCTATACAGTGATTGGGAAGAGGATGTGTCTGTCTATACAGTGATTGGGAAGAGGGTGTGTTTGTCTATACACTGATTGGGAAGATGAGGTGTCTGTCTATACAGTGATTGGGAAGAGGGTGTGTTTGTCTATACATTGATAGGGAAGAGGGAATGTCTCTATACACTGATTGGGAAGAGGGTGTGTCTGTCTGTGTCTGTCTATACACTGATTGGGAAAATGATATGTCTGTCTATACACTGATTGGGAAGAGGATGTGTTTGTCTATACACTGATTGGGAAGAGGATGTGTCTGTCTATACAGTGATTGGGAAGAGGATGTGTCTGTCTATACAGTGATTGGGAAGAGGATGTGTCTGTCTATACAGTGATTGGGAAGAGGATGTGTCTGTCTATACAGTGATTGGGAAGAGGGTGTGTTTGTCTATACACTGATTGGGAAGAGGGTGTGTTTGTCTATACACTGATTGGGAAGAGGATGTGTCTATACAATGATTGGGAAGAGGATGTGTCTGTCTATACACTGATTGGGAAGAGGATGTGTCTGTCTATACAGTGATTGGGAAGAGGATGTGTCTGTCTATACAGTGATTGGGAAGAGGGTGTGTTTGTCTATTCACTGATTGGGAAGAGGGTATGTTTGTCTATTCACTGATTGGGAAGAGGATGTGTCTGTCTATACACTGATTGGGAAAATGATATGTCTGTCTATACAGTGATTGGGAAGAGGGTGTGTTTGTCTATACACTGATTGGGAAGAGGATGTGTCTGTCTATACACTGATTGGGAAGAGGATGTGTTTGTCTATACACTGATTGGGAAGAGGATGTGTCTGTCTATACACTGATTGGGAAAATGATATGTCTGTCTATACAGTGATTGGGAAGAGGGTGTGTTTGTCTATACACTGATTGGGAAGAGGATGTGTCTGTCTATACACTGATTGGGAAGAGGGTGTTTGTACGCTGACTGGGAAGTGGGTGTGTCGTCTATACAGTGATTTGGAAAAGAATGTTTTTTCTTTATTCTGACATTGAAGGTGTGTTTGCCTATACACTGTTTTGGAAGAGGTTTTTTTTCCGTGTATGTAAAGTGTTCTGACAGGTTCTTTCAGTTGTGCTCTACCTCAGTTTACTAGACTTGAACTTGAATGTACCCTGCTCCATTAGTTGTGTTTGAACTTGAATGTACGCTGCTCCATTAGTTGTGTTTGAACTTGGATGTACGCTGCTCCATGTGTTTGAACTTGTATACAGTGATAAGATTAGTTGTGTTTGAACTTGAACACTGATTGGGATTAGGGTGTGTTGAACTTGGATACACTGATTCCAAGAGGATTATATGTGTTTGAACTTGTATGTACCCTGTACCATTAGTTGTGTTTGAACTTGAATGTACCCTGCTCCATTAGTTGTGTTTGAACTTGGATGTAGAGCTGTGTCCATTATATGTGTTTGAACTTGTATGTACCCTGTACCATTAGTTGTGTTTTGAACTTGAATGTACCCTGCTCCATTAGTTGTGTTTGAACTTGGATGTTTGCTGCTATTATGATGTGTTTGAACTTGTATGTACCCTGTACCATTAGTTGTGTTTGAACTTGAATGTACCCTGCTCCATTAGTTGTGTTTGAACTTGGATGTACGCTGCTCCATTATATGTGTTTGAACTTGTATGTACCCTGTACCATTAGTTGTGTTTGAACTTGGATGTACCCTGTACCATTAGTTGTGTTTGAACTTGGATGTACGCTGCTCCATTATATGTGTTTGAACTTGGATGTACGCTGCTCCATTATATGTGTTTGAACTTGTATGTACCCTGTACCATTAGTTGTGTTTGAACTTGTATGTACCCTGTACCATTAGTTGTGTTTGAACTTGAATGTACCCTGCTCCATTAGTTGTGTTTGAACTTGGATGTACGCTGCTCCATTATATGTGTTTGAACTTGTATGTACCCTGTACCATTAGTTGTGTTTGAACTTGAATGTACCCTGCTCCATTAGTTGTGTTTGAACTTGTATGTACCCTGTACCATTAGTTGTGTTTGAACTTGGATGTACGCTGCTCCATTATATGTGTTTGAACTTGGATGTACGCTGCTCCATTATATGTGTTTGAACTTGTATGTACCCTGTACCATTAGTTGTGTTTGAACTTGTATGTACCCTGTACCATTAGTTGTGTTTGAACTTGTATGTACCCTGTACCATTAGTTGTGTTTGAACTTGAATGTACCCTGCTCCATTAGTTGTGTTTGAACTTGGATGTACGCTGCTCCATTATATGTGTTTGAACTTGTATGTACCCTGTACCATTAGTTGTGTTTGAACTTGAATGTACCCTGCTCCATTAGTTGTGTTTGAACTTGTATGTACGCTGCTCCATTATATGTGTTTGAACTTGGATGTACGCTGCTCCATTATATGTGTTTGAACTTGTATGTACCCTGTACCATTAGTTGTGTTTGAACTTGTATGTACCCTGTACCATTAGTTGTGTTTGAACTTGTATGTACCCTGTACCATTAGTTGTGTTTGAACTTGAATGTACCCTGCTCCATTAGTTGTGTTTGAACTTGGATGTACGCTGCTCCATTATATGTGTTTGAACTTGTATGTACCCTGTACCATTAGTTGTGTTTGAACTTGAATGTACCCTGCTCCATTAGTTGTGTTTGAACTTGTATGTACGCTGCTCCATTATATGTGTTTGAACTTGTATGTACCCTGTACCATTAGTTGTGTTTGAACTTGAATGTACCCTGCTCCATTAGTTGTGTTTGAACTTGGATGTACGCTGCTCCATTATATGTGTTTGAACTTGTATGTACCCTGTACCATTAGTTGTGTTTGAACTTGAATGTACCCTGCTCCATTAGTTGTGTTTGAACTTGGATGTACGCTGCTCCATTATATGTGTTTGAACTTGTATGTACCCTGTACCATTAGTTGTGTTTGAACTTGGATGTATCCTGTACCTTTCATTTGTGCTCTTGCTGGATTGATATCTAAATATTTGTAGTCTTTTGTCTTAATAGATGTCACCACAATACAACATTTAATATAGAGCAAATCAAGAGACAAAGATCAAATGTTGGGCACCAAAATCCCTACGGAATATAAAGATCATACAATGATAGGCACCAAGATCCCTTTGTGATATAAAGGCCATACAATGATAGGCACCAAGATCCCTCTGTGATATAAAGGCCATACCATGATAGGCACCAAGATCCCTCTGTGATATAAAGGCCATACAATGATAGGCACCAAGATCCCTCTGTGATATAAAGGCCATACAATGATAGGCACCAAGATCCCTCTGTGATATAAAGGCCATACAATGGTAGGCACCAAGATCCCTCTGTGATATAAAGGCCATACAATGATAGGCACCAAGATCCCTCTGTGATATAAAGGCCATACAATGATAGGCACCAAGATCCCTCTGTGATATAAAGGCCATACAATGATAGGCACCAAGATCCCTCTGTGATATAAAGGCCATACAATGATAGGCACCAAGATCCCTTTGTGATATAAAGGCCATACAATGGTGGGCACCAAGATCCCTCTGTGATATAAAGGCCATACAATGATAGGCACCAAGATCCCTCTGTGATATAAAGGCCATACAATGATAGGCACCAAGATCCCTCTGTGATATAAAGGCCATACAATGATAGGCACCAAGATCCCTCTGTGATATAAAGGCCATACAATGATAGGCACCAAGATCCCTTTGTGATATAAAGGCCATACAATGATAGGCACCAAGATCCCTTTGTGATATAAAGGCCATACAATGATAGGCACCAAGATCCCTTTGTGATATAAAGGCCATACAATGATAGGCACCAAGATCCCTTTGTGATATAAAGGCCATACAATGATAGGCACCAAGATCCCTTTGTGATATAAAGGCCATACAATGATAGGCACCAAGATCCCTCTGTGATATAAAGGCCATACAATGATAGGCACCAAGATCCCTCTGTGATATAAAGGCCATACAATGATAGGCACCAAGATCCCTCTGTGATATAAAGGCCATACCATGATAGGCACCAAGATCCCTCTGTGATATAAAGGCCATACCATGATAGGCACCAAGATCCCTCTGTGATATAAAGGCCATACCATGATAGGCACCAAGATCCCTCTGTGATATAAAGGCCATACCATGATAGGCACCAAGATCCCTCTGTGATATAAAGGCCATACCATGATAGGCACCAAGATCCCTCTGTGATATAAAGGCCATACCATGATAGGCACCAAGATCCCTCTGTGATATAAAGGCCATACCATGATAGGCACCAAGATCCCTTTGTGATATAAAGGCCATACAATGATAGGCACCAAGATCCCTCTGTGATATAAAGGCCATACAATGATAGGCACCAAGATCCCTTTGTGATATAAAGGCCATACAATGATAGGCACCAAGATCCCTCTGTGATATAAAGGCCATACAATGATAGGCACCAAGATCCCTCTGTGATATAAAGGCCATACAATGATAGGCACCAAGATCCCTCTGTGATATAAAGGCCATACAATGATAGGCACCAAGATCCCTCTGTGATATAAAGGCCATACAATGATAGGCACCAAGATCCCTCTGTGATATAAAGGCCATACAATGATAGGCACCAAGATCCCTCTGTGATATAACAAGATCATACAATGATAGGCACTAAGATCCCTCTGTGATATAAAAATCTAACTATTTGTGTTGTCAAATATAAGATAATTAGCTTATTGAAAATGAAGATTTCATAAATCGCCTATTGCTATACTGCTATAAAGTTGTGAATACTGACTAGTAATTGATGTCATGCGAACATTGAAAATCAAAGGCACAGCTCGACAGCAAAAACAGAAATAAGTAGAATCAATGATAATTTGGCGCAATATCCTTTGATGCTTCCGTCAATCATAAATAAGTTGCGAAATCCATTTCTCACGAGCATTGGTGTATTGATACATGGATTAACTGCATTGTGCTTATAATATTTCATTTATAGATGAAGAATCTATATCTACATAGAAAAAACTCATCAATTATTTACAGTGATGATAGTTATGGTGCTGCTGAAGAAGTCAATAGTTTTTAGTATCACTGATACGTAATGCAATTGTTTTTATTGTCCAGGATGACATGCCAGGCTGCCATATTACTCATGGAAGAATCTTGATTCCATTCGTAGCAAAATTATATAAGATATCTAGCTCACTGTATCATATATAATGTGTATAATTTGTTCATTAAAATATCTAAATTTGAAAATTAGATATGTAATAAAATAGCAAATTAGATATCTAAATTTATAAATAAGATGTCTTATTCTTCAATTAGATATCTTTTTAATTAAAATAAAAATAATTCTCTTTTTGAAATATCCTGTTTATTAAATGAAAAATCTGATTTAATAAGTATAGTTTTCTTTATAACATATCTCATTTACTAAACTAGATAGTTTATTTAGTAAACTAGGTATCTAATTTAATAGAAAAACTGTAATTTGTAATATAATGTTCTATATCAGATACCTTATTTATCAATAGTTTTCTTCTTCAGTAAACTGGATATTGCATAAAACTTTAGATAAGATATCTATATGTACACGTATAAACAGCTAAAATGTTATTTATATAAATGATATAGCTTAATTAACATGCAAAAAAGCAATACATGTACATATCCCTTACCGGCTCCCAAAACCTATTACATTTAATCATTTATAAAAACATTATATTTGGTGTTAATTTTGGGGAAAAAATAGGTATACCATGAGTTTGAAACTGCTTTTAATGTCACCATATATACGGAATGAAGCAGTTATAGCGCTGTCAATGATTCTCTCAAAGATGACCTTGACCTTGACCAAACAATCTAGAAACGTAAGACCTATTCAAGATTTCTTAGGGCTTTAAAAGTCCACAGTTCGACGAAAATCCCTCAAGGAGTGAGGTCAGAAGGGCGCTGACAAGGATTTTCTTAAAATAGTAACCTTCGCATTGACCCAACAACTCTATAAATCGATTTTGTCCAAAATTTTAGGGCTTTAAAAATGTGTGATTTTTTTACTAAAATCAAAGAGTAAAGCGCTGGCAATGATTTTCTTTAAACATTAAGTGACATTGACCTTGACCAAATAACGGTAAGTCCACTTGAGCGCTTACAAACAGAATTGTGACACAAAAACGTGCACAGACGGACGGAACGACGGCTGGACGGACGGAGAGGAACACTATAGCCACCTTCATAACGCCCAGCTTCACTGGTAGGATACTATGTTGATTAAATATATTATCTGATTTATCTAATTTGGCCAGGTGCTGGATCAACATGGCTCCATGAAAGCCTGGCTATACCCTTGACAATGCTACATTGCTGTGTGTATCAACGATGTCCTGAACGATTCTTTATTCAGTCGTTACCTTCCGGCTTGTTTTGACATTATATCTGATAGAAATGTATGGACATATACAACATGGATTTATGGTGTGAATGTCACATTTTCGTTCTACTTCGACATTCAAGTTGGTATTAAAACCGCCAGTTTTTAGAATTTGACGTATGTAATTATTACCTCTATCTCAAAAAGTACTTGATTGATCTGCTGTACACTGCACGTGTTCTGGTATTTTGTTCAACATGGTTGAAGGTGTGCAGGCCATATTTTGATTTTCCAGATATTCAACATGGTCGCTATTTTTCAAGAAATACCGACGGACCAGCTTGAAATAACTTCATTATTGTTCACTATTTATATCACTGTCAATACAGGAGATATGTAAGAGAAAATGTGAAACTCCTTTTACGAGCAAACGTTAGATCCCTGTTGGATTTCTTGTTTGTCAATATTTGTCTATTTTACTACCTTCGTGTTTCAGCGTCAAAATTGATCTAGGTGGAGTGTTTACGTGAACTTGCAGATTCACAGACCGCTCGAGAAAACTAGAATTGGTAATGTTCAAAATATTTCAAATAATGCGAATATATAAGACATAAGCTATAGCGAAATTTCAAACTCTCACTACGGTACATATAACAAGGATACGACTCAGTATAGTAATATTTATTATTGAAATTTGTCATAAAAACGATTGTCTTTCTATCAAAACACATCCACCATTAACTTAACATAATATCATATTTAAATCTGTGTAACTTCCTAATATGGGCAAAGCGACATTTAGACAGAACGTTCACAGTCAATTCGAATAAGCATAAATATCCTCCTACTTGAATATAGAGATAAACATTTCTATACAAGGAAATAGTATTATTTCATGTAGAAGTTATGACTTTTTAACTGTATAGGTGAAACGAGACTTTCCGAACACAACTTACAACAAATTGTTCCATGTAGCTCTCCTCACAGAATAGATACATTAACGTCACAACTTATGTTGTCACCCCCAGTTTGTTTCTGTCAGATCCAAATTTGAATTTGAAAACGAATTAAAAAGATATCGACAAAGTGCATTGTCTAGATTATGAAACCATAGACAAATAATTTTTATACAGCGGAGAGGCATTTAACAATTAACAGTTTTAAGTGATTGGTGAGAGATATACATAAAACCATATTGTGTAGAAAATTCGACTTTTAATATTGGTATATCAGGAACCAGTCACTTGGAAAGAACATATATTAACCACATATCGGCGAAATGTTTTTATTCTACTTCTGTTTCAATTGGTAATAAAAATGGAAGCCCACGGAAACAGATGTCGCACTGGTTTTAAAACGTTTCTAGACGATACAATCACCATTTCTTTTATTTAATGACAGAAATATCGCCAACTAGTTTTGACGACTTGAAACATTATCTCAAGAATTTTAATTATTGGAAGAAATTGTGACGCAAAAGGATCTGTTGCCTTAAGCCATTACAAGTATGCAGATTGTTTAATTATCCAATGAATGCCATGCCATCAACACATCAATGAACGTGATCAAGCTTACAGATGTTTAAAGCAATACATTATTTTGTTAAGAAATAAACGTCTGACTGTGATACAGACCGACTTCGGCATGACGTCAGCATGAACCATATGTGTAATTATACAGCCAGTAATTATAAACGAGACTTGAGATAATTAGATAATATACTTAAGCTAGTGATTGCTTCTATGAACTAATTGATAATTGACAAATTGATGATTCTTTGATTTGAAAGAACGTATCTGTTTTGTTTTGCTTTATTTCTGACCAAATAAATATATCCGAATGATACTTTTCTCGGATTACGTGAGAACATATATTGAAGGTTTCCGACTATGTAAATACACTGTCCCATGATTGTTTCTACTTGTATTTCCAAATACATTACTGATATATGGTACACTATCAAATTATTCCCTGCAATATTTGAATTGCCAAAACGATTTGACTAATAATGAACATGATCAATGAATAATGCGATTCAGTGGAGTGAAATGGTACAGAGAGCAACATTCATAAACTACAACACATTTCCATGCATTCCGTTCACCTTTCTGAGAATCACGTGACTATCGCGGTCACTCAGACACTTGTCTCACACTTTTCTTTTTATTTTGCGTCCTATGTTTGACCGGTATGCGACCTTCCGCTCGATGATGTGGTGAAGAAGTGTTCATTACATCTTCCGCGTCCGTACTGCCCTCTGCCGCGTCATCAAGATCACGTTTATATTTTATATGTATACGGATTTTCATACCCGGTGTCTGTTCGTACTGATCCAATGCTTCATCGTCCTCGTCGCCATCTTCCTCCTCCTGTGCTTGATAGACACGTCCATTGGTGTTTCGCCCCGTCCCCAGTTCTGGAGACCCTGGCCTTTCTGGTAAAAGACTTGTCTCCCTATCGTCATTCGTTCTGTGAGTATTGCACGCTGAGTCTGCCTCCTCGATAACACTGTGTTTACGCTCATGATGAAAATTTGAACCATGCTTTTTATTCCTCCTATTTCTAATCTCCGTTTCCCGTAACACTCGGTAATCGGACATTGTTAGTTGCTGTTCTGCACCAGGGCGCTTTTGGCCCTTGCCAGTGATTCTTGGCAGTTTGTCATACACATTGAGTTCTGGTTTCCGGTTTGTATGCTGCCATTGGGCCGTTTCCGGTGTGTTAGCACTTACACTTTTATTTACAGTATCATTACTCTGTTGATTTTCCTCTAAGTTTTTTGTGGGGGAGATATGTGTTGTTAGCTGTGTGGTCGTAACTAAAGACGGGGCCGGGTATCGGACAACGGATTCCGGCTCGTTGTGTTTTTGAACAGATGTGATAGCAAGTAGATCGGGTGCGATAAGGTCCATTTCTTCCTTTGTACTACCATTCATCGGAGGGAGACGTTGATTTTTCTTTAGGATATTCTGTCCTGAGAGACAAGTAGAATTCACAAAATGAAGGTGCTTTTTCAAGTCAAAAATCCTACGATATCGTTTTTGATATTCTATTTCATTATAGGCGTTTTGTTTGCCATGTCTTTCAGAAGTTTCAAGCAGGTCCTCTGACGATCGACCGAAATTTTTGTCTTTGGTGGGACTTAGGTTGCTTTTGGAGACCATGGTCGTTTGTGAATTCTTTGTATCCGTACTAGACTGTTTGGTATAGTCTGTACTTACAGAAACTAAAGACTCGCTTCCTCCAGTCACTGACTCGGTCGTTTCCATGTTTTCTTCTGCATCACGCAAACGATGACGTTTTTGTCGCCTCTTTCGCGACCCGTCAAAGGTAGGTGACAACACCGGGCGAGGCGAAGTACGTTGGTTATCATGAACCGGTTTAGTCTTCATCCATGAATGAACCTGACGGTCAATATCCTTTTTCCACTGATCAGTGTTCAGATGGACACCGGTCTTACCTCGTCCGGGCATGCCCATCATGGTCCTGTTACCGGAGTATCCACCCAGATCTTCGTTAAGAAAAGTCACCTGCCTGCAACACAAATGAAACAGTCAGTAAAACAAAGCATTCTAGATCAACTTAGTAACAACATTGCCAGAAATAGACAAAGTCCAATACTGATATACTAACGAGTGGGGCCCACAAGACGTTTATTATTATTTTTTAAAATTTCTTCTGTATATTGATGTTCTTTCACTAGAGAACTCGCCTCTTTTTCACAAACTTTCCTTAACTTTGTTTTGACCTTTTGAAAACCTAATTAGAGTTAAGAACAAGCTTAGTTGTGAGTATCCTCCATACCTGTTGAGATCACTTGAGACAAAATCTAATAACGATCGCCTTTTGTCGGGCGTCATGCGTTCATAAACTTTTAACACTTTCGATTTCTTCTGGAAAATCCCAGAACTTATTTGAATGAAATTTTGCAGAATCCGTTCATGGCCAAAGTTGAACAACATATATATGCTATATGGTCCCCACCTAGCAGGTACCTGTGATTGGTGGAACCAATAATCTTAACGCCCAGATATGGTAAAACCAAATGCTCTTCATGGATAGAAATATCTTAAAGTGATTTAGTAAAGTTGTAAACTTCATGACATATGGGTCTCACATTTCCTTCTGTGGTAAAGGGAAAGTTTACCATAATTTACACAGGTAAATAAAACATTGTTTATATTTAATTTTCATTGTAAACATTCCAAACTTGGTAACAATTATCAGTATATGATGACGGCCTGATAATATCTGATGATATGTACATATTGATTCTGGCTGACCCCCAAATGACCGATGGGCATGGCCAAAAGGGGCCAAATTGACTGAAATTTTAAAGAAAGTCATCGGAAGATCAAGATAGGGAAGAATCAAAGGCTATTAATGGTTAGAAGGGTCTTAATGTGCTTTACTAAAATTTGTTATTTTTATGACCGAAGGGTCTCACATTTTCCCCTAGGGAGGAGGTGAAATTAACTCTAGTTTAAATGTGAAAATTATTTTTAAGCATAATTTCTTTTAGATCAAACGTGGGTAGAATTCTTAAAATGGATGACATTTAATTTTGTGTACATTTTACATTTGTGTTACATGTACAATTCAGTACAAGCTATCTTACTTAGTTAACTTGTTTCTATAACATGTTTCAGGAACAACGACAGCACTGTAACTCAAATAACCGTATAGGCTATTGAGGCATATTGGTCTTTCTTATTAATAGAAACTCATTTTTTTAAAATAACATACTTTCAGAGAATTTTGAACTGTCAAACTTCCCAATGGCTGAGAACTGAATGGAGAATTTCCTGAATGAGATGCTGTAACCATCAGCAGTGCGTAAACTTTGGCTATTTTGCATTTGAACTGAAGATCTATGAATCTATATAAAAAGTTTAAATTCTATTGATTCATACTATACATTTTTCAAAAATCACATCAACAGTGCAGTCAGGTATGAACATACGATTTTTGATCAATAATGTTATGTGTTTATAATTTCAAAGACACGTGATGTACAAATCATTATCAAATAAGATTTTATCTGTAAAAATCATGACACTTTTCAAGAATTATATTTTCATCAACGAAAATGCACCCGAGAATCTAAATATCATTTGGTTGTCACATTCGAACAAAATACATTTAAAAGGTTTAATTGTAACACATTCACTGACAAGAACAACACAATATCGATGTATAACAATGGATTATCACGATCGCATGATATATTGTTAATTTTACGTAACACTGAAAAAATAAGTTAAGATGCGACAACCATTTTGCTAAAAAATAAACAATAGCAATTTGTCATTACGAACATAAAAAAAAATAATACCCACGACCGATGTGAAAGCAAGCGTACACATGGGTCGATACATAATGTTATCAACATCCATGGACATTCTAGGTACCATTGGCGGCACGAGCCCGGTTAGTATAGAGTTCACACCTGATTAATTAAATTAACACTTGATTACAACTTCACAAGGAGGTTTATTTATCTCTGACAGCACCCGGTAGAATACAAAATTGGTCAGTCTTAGCTAGAACACATATATCCTGGTAATTAGGGTTAGTGAAAATTACTTTGTTTACCAGCTCCGGAACCAACTATTACTATACTGTAGGACAATGATAGACTACATCCTCGTACTTAAGGTAACCTTTAGGAGTGCTCACACCCAAACATTACAAAAGGACATACTGGTGATACCAACACTCGAACGTTTTTAAAACCCCATCATTTTACATGTTTGTAAATGCTTTAATAAGATGTTGTTTGTGTGATATATAATAACTTAATTACAAAATAGGACAGAACACATTTCTTGTGTAAACAGAACTTGTGTGTTCGGTGTTCCACCGTGAGTGGCTTCCTACTCATAAAGTCATTTAAGTAGATAAATTGATAAGGACTTTTCCTGACAGAGGTCAAACGACAAAAACCAATTAATTTTCATGTCATCTTACACTATTATTATTAATATATTAACATCAAGCAATAACTTTTTATCTTTTGTAAAACTAAACAATAGTTGCTCCATATTAACGATAACCTACGAACTATCACAAACACTGAACAGTAAATTCACTACACCACGTGATTACACAAACATAAACAAGGAATTATCACAAACACTGAACAGTAAATTCACTATACCACGTGATTACATAAACATAAACAAGGAATTATCACAAACACTGAACAGTAAATTCACTACACCACGCGATTACATAAACATAAACAAGGAATTATCACTAACACCGAACAGTAAATTCACTATACCACGTGATTACATAAACATAAACAAGGAATTATCACAAACACTGAACAGTAAATTCACTACACCACGTGATTACATAAACATAAACAAGGAATTATCACTAACACTGAACAGTAAATTCATTACACCACGTGATTACACAAACATAAACAAGGAATTATCACAAACACTGAACAGTAAATTCACTATACCACGTGATTACATAAACAAGGAATTATCACAAACACTGAACAGTAAATGCACTACACCACGTGATTACATAAACATAAACAAGGAATTATCACTAACACTGAACAGTAAATTCACTATACCACGTGATTACATAAACATAAACAAGGAATTATCACAAACACTGAACAGAAAATTCACTACACCACGTGATTACATAAACATAAACAAGGAATTATCACTAACACTGAACAGTAAATTCACTATACCACGTGATTACATAAACATAAACAAGGAATTATCACAAACACTGAACAGTAAATTCACTACACCACGTGATTACATAAACATAAACAAGGAATTATCACAAACACTGAACAGTAAATTCACTACACCACGTGATTACATAAACATAAACAAGGAATTATCACTAACACTGAACAGTAAATTCACTACACCACGTGATTACACAAACATAAACAAGGAATTATCACAAACACTGAACAGTAAATTCACTATACCACGTGATTACACAAACATAAACAAGGAATTATCACAAACACTGAACAGTAAATTCACTACACCACGTGATTACATAAACATAAACAAGGAATTATCACTAACACTGAACAGTAAATTCACTATACCACGTGATTACATAAACATAAACAAGGAATTATCACAAACACTGAACAGTAAATTCACTACACCACATGATTACATAAACATAAACAAGGAATTATCACTAACACTGAACAGTAAATTCACTACACCACGTGGTTACATAAACATAAACAAGGAACTATCACAAACACTGAACAGTAAATTCACTATACCACGTGATTACACAAACATAAACAAGGAATTATCACTAACATCAGAGTAAATTCACTACACCACGTGATTACATAAACATAAACAAGGAATTATCACAAACACTGAACAGTAAATTCACTACACCACGTGATTACACAAACATAAACAAGGAATTATCACAAACACTGAACAGAAAATTCACTACACCACGTGATTACATAAACATAAACATGGAACTATCACAAACACTGAACAGTAAATTCACTACACCACGTGATTACATAAACATAAACATGGAACTATCACAAACACTGAACAGTAAATTCACTACACCACGTGATTACATAAACATAAACAAGGAATTATCACAAACACTGAACAGTAAATTCACTATACCACGTGATTACACAAACATAAACAAGGAATTATCACAAACACTGAACAGTAAATTCACTACACCACGTGGTATCCAAATAACAAGCCCGTCATGTCATTTACATTTTATATTAAGGGATAATTGTCTTGTTTCTGGTGTAAATATAAGTACAATATATGAGTACAAAGAACAAAGTAGCAATACATTAAGGCACCTGTATAGAAACAGAGTTTTGTCAAATTTAACATGGTAAACTCCAAAATATGGTTATCTTTCCTGTCCTTGAAATTTCAGAGGTTTAAGTACCTTCAAATCTCCACAGTATACTATGGGTGAACAACATTACATAGCTTATTATCTAAATTCAATAACTGAAAACACTCTCATACAAGGCGCCGTTTTAGAACGGCTTTTGTCATTCCTATCTTTAGAAGCTAAGATCATTCTTGTACCTCAGACAAAATCGAAAAAAGGAAATAAAGAATATTAAACGACACTTATGTTCAACAACGAAATACAATGTACATAAACGTTTACTGACGCGAGATCTGTGTTGTTTTCAAAGGGTATACCTTATAGGTGTCTGTCCTTGATGTACAACTATCTATACTCCTGCAGTTTTGATTACTGACACTACATCATTAAATTTCAAACTCCAGCGTTGCCGACTAAAATAACGATACATATAGCAAATTCACAATTACGAAATCAGGACATTTTTTCATCTCATTTAAATATCGTAATGAAAATCTAATGAAAAATACCTTTGATATCAAAAACGTTTACTAGACACATGTATACACACGAGTTAGTGAACAGCTTTCTCCCCGTATGCTTTATATCAATGATAACCAACACCAACCGTATACCACCAAGCAGCGCCGTTCACT